TTGCATTATATACTGTTATTTTCTATGAGAGTTAGCTCCATTTTTGTAACTAGTAGTTTTATATATTCCAGTAGATAGAACCGCTTAACTAGTTAAAGTAGAATAAGCTTATAACTTTAACCTCTTCTATAAGTGTACCTATCTACAAGTTTACCTTTTATATTTGATTGTAATCATCACTTTAGATACAACTATGTATGGAGAACAACTCATTTATTTCTATATTTTATATTATGCCGCCATTCATATTCGTCATATACGCTAAATATAGTACTGCTCTCGAGAAAATGCAGTATTGTAATATCAAGGATGTAAGTAAATATTAAGCTTATTTTTGATATAATAAATACGCGTGGAATATAGTAGGCGGTGTTTTATATTCGTGAAGCATATCGTTTTGTTTAGAAACGAATATCAGAAGTTAAACGAGGTAGGATTTAGCCTAAGTGAGACACTGCTTATACGAAATAGTTGGCTAATACTATAGGAACAGTAATTGGTTAACAGTGCGGGTCATCCCGAGTTGTGATCCGTCTTACATCTCTTAAACGTTCATGACACTAACATTATATAATCTCAGCCTCAATACTATTCTGCAAATAAGTAGTATTCCGGTAATCTGTCTTATTAATGACGAACACAACGGCAGGAAAAACGACTCCTGGTTGGATGAGATGCTGATACGAGGCTGGGGGATTTTAGCCTGTCATAAGACCTGCAGAGGACTCTTAAAGTCGGTTTCTGAACTCCCGCCCCAACTATGACGGCCACGCCGTTTGCGTAATATCGATGCTAGAGTCTGATTGGCCATCCTTGAGACAGCAAATTAGTAATCCTCTTGTGAGGTAATCTGTAGCATCCAAATCTAATCTCTAGGGTCTAAGTTACGTCATAAATGCATGACGTAATGACGCCGAGGAGATATATTATAAACAAAGATGGTGTAAACACTGTCAGTAATCACTTTTAGCTGTTGCAATGAGACTCAATACAGACAATTGGGAGTGAAGGCAGTTCATAATACACTAATAATGGAGTATGTCATTGCTGAACAGTTCTAAGGCCGAATCGCGAGGAACGATACCGACCAACCTACATAGAAGATGTGAAATGTGGCCAGAAGTGTAACCTTGAGCTGGCTTTCTAGGGGCCAAAGCAACATATGTACTTTAGCGATGTGGGATTCCACGCTCTCCGGGTTTCTACACGTGCGTGGGTACCTATCGTGTTCTGCGTTTGGTCCTACGAAGTGTTGGAGACTTAAAAACCGGCTCGACCGTAGCCTTCGCTAAAAGGACTAAGGGCCTGTACATACTGAGGAGGAGCATTTCCTCCCTCTTGGGTCTGGATTACCGACTTCTAATTTGCAGATAAGACCCATCCTGTAGTTAGCCAGGACTAATCATGGCGTCTATGACGGGTTGACCGCTGACCCAGCTCGACCCGTAACCAATAGGCAATGTTTGCTACTGTAACCAATCTGGAGAGACGCGATCTGACTGACGTATGCGGCCCCCCCCGCGCGAGACTAGCTGATGCTACACCATTAAGGATCAGCATAAATATATCAATAAAAGAGAAAGGTCAAGAATCCTAGGTTAATGATGTACGAGATGCTACCGAACGGAAGGTATGGAGCATATCGAAGTTGAAGGGGTAATAGTGTCGTTTCAAGGAACGTCGCACAACAGCTGCATTATTGGGCTGGTTTCGGTCAGAAAAAGAAGTATTGAGGATAAATGTATTTACTTAAAAATAATAAGTGGTTGCATTAGTAAGTGAAAGATGGGTTAAAGCCTAAGGTTCCTTTGTTGGTTAGTCGTACGGAACGAACATACGAGATTTGCCTTTTCATGAGGCTCTAAAGCTGAGGACGACCAAGGCTGAACGGGACGAGAACTTGTTAAGGATTCACGCCGACAATTTCAATATCGAATAGCCTTGCAGGTAGCAGTCAACCTGTTAAATTTTAAATTGATGCGGAACCGGACGCTAGAATGTAAAGTCCGCCCAGGTATATTGAAGCGTTTGAGTCGCCATTGGCCCAACATTAGATCTGCCAAGAAAAATGTAACGAATGGGAATAGAGTGAACGGTTGGTCTGACTGTCTGGGGGGAGCCGATGATGATTTTGGGTCCTTCTTAGGTCACGTCACCAGGTAATTGGTTCCTGCACGGCAAGTTCCCAGAAAAATAGTGGAGAATTTCAAAGCGAAATTCAGAGTGCAAGTGGGGTGGGCTGAGAAATGACGATACCTCCTACGTCATGGAGCATTTGTTTTCGTCCCTGGTCCCCAGTATGAAAGAGTCATGGATTGTAATAGAATCACGATTAAATGGGTTTGGAAGAGATACCCCCGGATACTTTTTTCTTAGAACCCCCAAAACAAAAGAAAAAGCCATGTTATTTTTTCGATTGTTTCATTCCGTATTTAACACTTTCACATTTATACTTTATAACCGGATTGGTCTATAAGATAAGCTCTTGTACTACAGCGTAATCATGCATAATATGTAGAATCACGTTGTGCCAAGGCTGATGAATGAGTCGGGCTAGTCGAAGAGGATGATACATCTAGGTACAAGTACCCCAGTATGTACATACTTGAAGTTGGGCACTTCTGTCTAGGCAATTCTTAGTATATACATGTTATTATACATGTTCTAGATGAAAAACGAGATTTGAATTTGGGTGGGAATCGGGTATACGATAGATAAATGTGACTTAAGCCTTCTATGCCACGTATTTACTTGGAGCAGCCACTCGGTAGCTAGCGAGACCTATTCGATCTTGATCTAGGATATGGAGGATAGAAAGGTCGCATTATCGCGCTCTCTTGACGAATAAAAGTTGATCTCCCCTACACTGCCGATATAAGAGGTACACGCTTTCAACAAAAATAAGGCACAGGAACTCCTCCCCACATACATAGGTATGTATGTAGGAAAGTTATCAACCAGGATACCACGTACTGTGGGATATGCTATTATGGGCAGATAAATGTTACGGTACATCGGTCGTTAATTGCCCATGTTAAGTTGCCGGCGCCGTCTTGGCTGCGAATTGCGAGATTGTTTCCTGGTGATACCATACCCAATCTCCGATTCTGAGTGAAATGGTGATGAAAGGTGTTATGCACTGGTACTGCGCCTATCTCTATTTAGTTATCTGAAGATGTATATGCCGTGAGACCTTCCGGAATTCGACTGGCTATAATTGTTGGTGCTTGCATGTATGATGTAGATATCTATCTAGCGCATCAAATTGTCGTTTCTGGTAGATTGGCAGATGAAATTCTTGGGATATTTACGTCTGATATCTTGATGTGTTGGATTGGATTGGATTGGATTGGATGTTAGGCACATGCAGCACTGGTGTACATATGATTAGGTACATAGATGTACATACATGGTCCCCGCATGGCCAGTTTAACCTGATTCGTCCCTTTGTCCTACCTCGTGCCAGATTAAGAAATGTTGGACAGTTAGCTAGCTTGCCCGCCAGCCCGCTCTCTTTTACATAACATGGTACATGCATCCTTTGTCTCTCGTAGCTGGGTCTCGAACAGGTTTTGTCAGCACCTGAAGTAAATTGCCCGACTTGCAACCTGGGTTTTTACCAAATTCCAGATTGTCGGCACCGTATTTGTCAAAAAGCCCTCCCGTGGCAAACCAGGGCATTTATCACCTGCTTAATACAATATGGCGCATATGGCATGTTAGACCTCATTTAGTATAAAATACAATATTACTACTACGTTAGGTACCTAAAGTAGCCTATTCTATATCCATTTTAGGTACGGATTACTTTAGGTCATTATAGGTATTGTACTTTAGGTACAATACCTACGGCATCTACCAAGGGTCAAGTATCACCCTTGCCCCCTTCATAACGGGCCCCCCTAGTAAGATTAGAAAGCAACTCAAAAGTTAGGTAGGTACGTCTAGGTACGCTACGGCGCACTAACCCACTACATCATCAGGCGACATCGATCTCGGATACAAGCACCGCTTGTACATAGCACTAAACAAGGCCCAAGGGCGCATAGCCATGTAAGTGTCTCGATGTCACCGTTTAACCATTCGCGCAAGTCGTCAGTCGTCATTTCTCCCACCTTTTTTTTCTTCCTTCTTTGATAATTCTTTCCCACCCCCAGAGCACAACGCCGGGTCAACTCTACCACTGCACCACCACTTTTTAGGTCACATATCTTTAGCTTTTTTCTATTCTTACACGGGGAATTATTAGATCTTGTGTTTTTAACCCGACTATACCTATACTATAACCTTTTACTTTTAGACAAATTCCTAAGAGAACGACTCTATTTCTATCCTATCTACTAGCATTGAGAAAGACACTGCGGACATTGCAGATATTGCAGACATTGCAGACATTGGAGGAGTCATATCCGCACGATAGAAATCTTGTGACTTGCATTACAGCGAAAGAGAAGATAGCAAATTCTACGTCTTGCAGCGTACTCCCCGCCGAACCTAACTCTACATACTTTTGTTACAAATCAAGAGCAATTCAACTGCAATTCAAATACCAGGTTTCCCGATCCAAGCCCGAGTCCGTCCTCATTTTGAATTTTAAGGATCGTACATAGGCGTAGGCTAGGTACATTGCCGAAAGCAAATAATTGCCAACTAAAACATCGCCATTTCGGCAGCTTCCCGCTATTCGCCATCTTATTGCTCGCCTTGCCTGCACTGGTTATTCTGACCTTTCAAAAAAGAGCGGACCTGACCAATTCCCGGACGGCACCTGTTTCTGCAGTTTCTGCAGTTTCTGCATTTGAGTTTGTTTGGTTCGAATTTGAAACAACCCGTGGGCTTGGAACCAGTGGCGCTTCCGAGAGTTTTTATTTTTGTCTCGCATAGGAGAGACGAGACACGAGACACGAGACACGGAGAGTGGAAGTGTGGAAAGTGAAGTGGGAAAAGGAAAAAAAAATAAGCCTAAGGTGCATTTTGGGTGTGACATCTAGTAACCAAAAATGTCTACTATCCAGCAGCTTAAGAATTTCATCCGCCATGGTACGCCCCTCTGTTGCCCACCCCTCTGTCGTTCCCTGCTCTGCCTATCTTGTCTACCGCACGTTTCCTTCGGTGTGTTTTGTTTGTTTTCTCTTGCACAAACGAACAATTATCTCCTTCGTTTTTTCGACTTGCAACTCATTCATTTTTACTTGTTTACTTCGGGACTATCTTTTTTAAAATTCCCTATTTGATCCATATTTTCCTATATCTTGGTCAACTCTACGGCCATTTACAACAACCGCATTTTGACGCATGTCCCGCTGATATCATATTCCTTGAACAGGCAAGCAGGCAAGGGTAACCAACTACGAAGAACCCTCGCGGAAACATGAATATTCTCCCCCGCAACCTGCGCAACAAAAAGCCATGGGTCACGTAAGCGAGCCCGGACACACGGCCGGCAACGGTCATCGGAACACCATCCCTGAAGCCTACTCTGCTCAGCCCGGTGATATCCAGAACCCAAACCGTGTCGCACAAGCCGATGCTGCCGCTGCCCACCATGCCGAGGCCAAGCAGAACGTCTCCGGCACACATTCGAATAAGAGCAAAAGCAGAGTAGATGATACCCACGCCGCTAAAATCGTACAAGAGGAAAACGAGAATAGGAATAAGTTTCCCAGATATCCCGGTCTGGAAAGGTGGGAGCTGCTTGAGAAGATGGGGGACGGGGCGTTCAGTAATGTCTACCGGGCAAAAGACCTCAAAGAAAATGCTGGTGAAGTCGCCATCAAGGTCGTCCGAAAATATGAAATGAACAACATGCAGGTGAGTTTCTCCGGCGGTTGAGTTTGCGTCGTCAACCTTGTCGTTTCCTCTTTCAGGTTGCAACTTGTGTTTCCATTTCCCGCAAATTTGATGGTTTCCTGTACCAACTATTGGGGGTCGAATTATAGGGCCATAAACATCTACATCCGGATTTCAAGAAAGTTCCGAAGGCAGCAGAGGTGCGGAGATATTCTTTTTCTTTTGTTCAACTTAACCGATATACACGTCGTCTATCACATCATATTCTACAAAACTCCAAATCTAGGGATCGGTAAAGCTAACAATCCATCACAGAGAGCAAACATATTAAAGGAAGTTCAAATCATGCGCCAGTTAGACCACCCTAATATCATCAAACTGGTCGACTTTTCAGAGTCAAAGCAATATTACTATATAATCTTGGAGCTGGCACCTGGTGGGGAGTTATTCCACCAGATTGTGCGACTCACCTATTTCAGCGAAGATCTCTCAAGACACGTTATCGTACAGGTCGCAAACGCCCTCGAGTACCTTCACGAGGAGAAGGGCGTCGTACATCGGTAAGTAAAAAACACGGAGTTGTTTGACCGTGAGCCTCAATCCCACTTCGTTATGGCACGACTCAGCTACCCCGTCTAAGGGTGCATTGAGGCGGCTAAATCATGTGGCGGTGACGTCACTAGACATCTTAATCTTTGACCCCTGTATCAGCCAGCTAACATGTGAGACGATAGTGACATCAAACCTGAAAACATCTTATTCAGTCCGATACCAGTCGTTCCATCGAAAAACCCCACGCCAAAACAACCTGGCGATGAAGATAAAGTGGATGAAGGCGAATTCGTGAAGGGAGTTGGGGCAGGGGGAATCGGCCTGATCAAGATCGCTGATTTCGGGTTATCGAAGGTCGTATGGGATGACCAAACCATGACGCCATGTGGCACTGTTGGATATACAGCCCCTGAGATAGTTAAGGATGAGCGTTACTCCAAGTCGGTGGATATGTGGGCTCTCGGCTGCGTATTATACACATTATTATGCGGCTTTCCACCATTTTACGACGAAAGTATCGAGGTTCTTACGGAAAAGGTTGCTAAGGGGCAATATACTTTCCTATCACCATGGTGGGATGAAATCTCCAAATCTGCTCAAGATTTAATCACGCATCTTCTTTGCGTCGACCCTGACGAGCGGTATACAATCAAGGAATTCTTGAGCCATCCGTGGGTGCAGGGAACCGGACCTACGCCTCGTGACGAGAAGAAGGCGAACGCAGAAATCTTACGCGCATTCGACGCCGGACGACTCATCGATGGCGAGCGCCGCATGGACTTCAGATCGCCCGGTGCAGTCAATCTCCGAGAGATTTTCGATGTCGGATATTCGGTACATCGGCAAGAAGAAGAGGCCAAGCGGAGAAAGCAGATCGGCGTCAAGGGTGCTGCACCGTCGCGATTGGCTGGTCTCGACGAAGATTCGGAGGAGGAGACATCGGACCCGGAATATGTGCATAAAGCCGAGTCGCAATCACTTGAGCAGAGCATGCGTAAGACGCATATTGGTAAGGAGCGAGAACGTGGCCGACAGCAGGAACGACAATCCGATAGAGAACAAAAAGGATATGGTCAGCACAGCGCTGCCGTCGCGCAAGCCGCTCGGCAGCAGGTTCGTGATCGAAATAAGCAACGAGGGGCTTTCGAGCTCAATCTAGATGGGGCGACGTTACTTGGCAGACGAGCTGGAAAACCTGCCACCGCTAGCGTTGGCGGCTTATAGGACAAGACAGCTGACAAGCAGGAAGCTGATACTGAGGAGAAACATGATCACGACAGCTGTTGGCATTGACTTATTGATTCTATGAACATCTGGACCGAGTTTCTGAGACAAGCGCGGAGAACGGATTTCGGAGGCATCGAGGCATGTGATATTGGTTTGAATGAACAATACGGGGAGTTCTTGTGGCTTTTTGTCTTTTTGCAACATTGATCCGCAGAGCTTTACACATAGGACTAGGCGTTCCCGGAATCGAGATACATATTTCGCCCTGTTCAATTGATAGTGTTCAGATGTGAATGAAATTAAGTTGTCCCTACATTCCTCGTGATGATAAATGTAGCCAGGCTGTTTCCGGTATTAGTCTTCCAATCCTGCGACTTGCCGTAGCTGTCTCCCTTGATAGTATATTGGCGGCGCAACGCCGTCCTCAGCCCTTCCTGATGAAATTTGAGACACTCGGGTCTTGTAGTACAACACAGTAAACGAGTGTCGACTGCAACTAAATTCAGTATTTAGTCCCTGAATTGCTCGGCCAGCCCTCGCCAGGGATTACTAGGAACTGGAACCAATTTTTCCAATTGTGTGACTTTTGTGATTTCTATACGGTCTAATGTGAATTGTATAAGAAGCTGTCGATCATCCGCCATCTCTAGTTCTCAATCCATAGGATCACATACCCATCTATCCATCTATCCACTTTACCTCATGCGTCCTTCTACGACATGGAATTCAATAAGTAATACGCGATCGTATGGGCGACTATATTCTATTACTATTATATAATATCTAATCCTCTATACTAACCCTTTATTATCTAAGTCTCCTCTTAGTTTACATATACCTACGTACCCCTATTTTAATTACATACGCCAATACACCTCAGCAAAGCCACGAGAGCTCTATTACACTATCTAACCTATCATACAACGTTAATTCATAAATATAATCAACTTGACGATACTATGGCGAGTTCCCTGGCACAATTGGGGGTCCAGTACATGCCGTCAACTGGGGGCTGCATGCTGGATTTGGCCGCCATACCCTCCCACCTGTTCAGCTCTTGCGGCGCTATTCACATTCGCATCCCAGAAGCTCAGCACCACGTCGAGGTTAACTCGAACATGGTCTGCATTAAGCCCAGCCAGCCGGCTCCGGGTCCGGGTGCTGCTATCTACCGAGAACAGTATATGTATCCGAATGTGGTGGTACCAACAGATCTTTCTCATGCATCGCCGAAGAACCACAAGCAACAGCCACCTTCATTCAATGCCCCAGAAACTTCCGTACATCACCCCGTGCCAGAGCCGGATAACAGTAAGCCCGCGAGCGCTAATACACCGAATGACTCCCATAAGGACACTGTGCCGAGCTTACAGACGTTTGTTAAGACGGCACATTGGTCTACTCTAACTACTACGCATACCGCTTCGCCATCCCCCCGTCCCCAGCTCCCACCCAGTACCAGCCCGCCCCGCCGGCACACTCCCCCCATTCCCCGACCCGGATCCGGAACTCGACGACAGCACCCCCGCCGAGTACTGCCGCGGGACGTACTTCAAAACAGACGTCACGCACATCCCAGCCCTCGACCCGCACGACCTCGACGCGTACCTCAGCCTCCTCGGCCTAGACGACCTGGGCCTGACGCTAGACCTCGAGCACGGAATCGCAGGGCTAGCGGCGTCGCTGCTGCTGCTGCTGCTCAGCGGCAGTAGCGCCGTCGACGATGACGACGCGACGCGCGGGGTCTGGCGGGAGCTGGAGCGGTCGTATCGCGTGAGGTGCGGGGTTTCGGTGCAGGGGCTGTGGAGCAGCAGCAGTAGTGGTAGTGGTAGTGGTAGTGGTAGTGGTAGTGGTAGTGGTAGTGGTAGTGGTAGTGGTAGTGGTGGTGGAGTGTTTGGGGGCGGCGTGGAGTTGGAGGCTGGAGAGGGATAATTGTCGGTTTTGGACGGGGGGGAGGAATGAGGTGTTGCCGGTGGAGAGGTTGAAGGGGGGGGAGAGGGGGGAGTGGGATTTGGTGTATTTGTGAGGCAGTGGGGTGGAATGCGGATGTAATGGACTGTGTGTGTGATGGCGTGGTTTGGGTTGTGTATTGGGAGAAGCGCGGTGTTTGGGTATAACTATGTTATGTTTTTTATATGTTTTTATAATGCTGGATTTTAGTCAAGACTTTCTAAAAAAAATTAATGCGCAATACTGTCTCACTCGCGTACTGAAAAGGGGTAATGCTTCCCCAGGATTTGATCGAGCGATGAGTCTTACTTCGGAAGACGAGGAAATGGATAATACATAGATGATAGCAAAGGTTTAGAAGAACAACATTCCAACTTGCAGTCGGTAACTTGAGCTAAGCTCGAGTTATGAATTCTAAAGAGCTTTATTATAAGGAATCTTGGATTTCTCGCCCCCTCCTCTTGCCTCTAAGATATCTAGGTATATATACATATATATATATATATCCTATCTGTTGGTATTATACAATAGACAAACCCCAACCTAGAGATATCCACCCCACCCATCATCTCGCCAACCAGCCTTAACCATGCGTCGGCGGCGGGCTAGCCACAGCCCAGAAGTCAAAGTTAGGATTATCATACCCGCCGCCCTCCTTCCAAGTCGACGCGTACGGGGCATAATGATCCCAGTTCGACGAAGTGTTCAGCCCGAGCTCGGCCCAGACGAACAGCCCGTCTCCCAGCTTGTTGCTCAGCGAGACGTAATTCGGGAACGGGTCGTACTCGGACGTGGCGGCGTACCCGGTAAACCAGTCCCCGAGGTTGCTCGTGTGCGGGATGCGGTTGGTATTGTACGGCGCGGTGGCCTCGACGGCATCGCGCAGCGTCTGGTCGAAGAACAGCTGCGATAGGTGCGCGACGCGGCCCCCGGTGTACGTGCCGTTGGGCAGGACCTCGGAGCCCACGTGGGCGATCAAGTGCTGGTGCGTGGCGCGCCCCTGGTAGTGGCCCGGGAAGATGGTGTCGAAGTTGACGACGCCGTCCTCGTCGACCGGCTGCACGCCTCGCAGGTACGTGGTGCCTAGCCCGCCCTCGCCTCTCGCGCTGACGCCGCTGTATGCGCCCGTCGCGTTGCACGACCACGTGTCGATCAGCACGCCGACGGCCGGCTCGCAGGTCTGCACGTCGATGAACTGCAGCTCGAGGTGCATGGGCACGCCGACCGTGTCCTCGACTACGTTGGTGCGGATGTGTTCCTGGTACACAAAGTACGGCCCGTTGGCGTTGTTGGGTGTCAACACGCAGCTGGTGTTGGCGCCGAAGACGTCTTTGCTGGGAGTCTCCTTGGTGAAGTCTGATGTCCCGGTCTTGTCGTGCGACAGGGCGGCCCATTTCTTAAATGCCGCGGCGTCTCGGCGGTGGAGCCAGGGTGCTGTGGTTGGGGATTAGTTTAGTTGCGGTGAGTCGAGTATAGAGGGAGGGGGAGAGTGCTGTGGGAAGTGACCTTACCCTGTTCAATACCCTTATCGCGACGAAGCTGTGCGAACTTTTCTGCTCGTCGAGCCACTTGATGAATTTGAGTTAGCATGTGTTGCCTCTTTAGGGGCTCAGGGGTAGATGAGTTCTTTTCTCTGGACCATGGTTTCGAAAAGACAAAGAGGTTACATATAACTACACGATGGTATAAGATGTCGAATATGAGTTCTAGAAGATACATACTAGCACGCTCCTTGCGAGCTTTTACCGCGGGCGAGTTCTGACACGCCTCGAGGGCCCTCGTATTCATCTTGTTGACGACGTGGGCATTACCCATCTCCTCCAGCGCCTCTCGCTTTCCGTACTTCTCTCCCGGGTGTCCGAAAACCGCCATAGGGGTTAACAACAAGGCCACGGCTAGAGTGGCCGCGATCGAGGGCACGAACACCATTTTGAACCTGATTTTTTCGAGGTGAGCTTAACAGAATCAGAATACGGAGAAGAAACCCAGGTTCCCTACGAGCAGAATAAAGAGGCCACTCTCCCCTTTTTAACCACCAACCCCTAAAGCACGAAGCTCTTTAACGGAACATGTTGACGAACTTAACATGATTTGGTATTTCTCCATTAAGACCGCCAAGAAGCACCATCACGGCAGACATAGTCGACCACGGCAGCGACGCCGGCAGTAGGACGTCGAAAGAAGGGACAAACTTAGTAAAGGGGGATATGAATCGAGCTATAAGACAAGTGGTTTTGAGCCATCCAGTATTTACTTTTTGACGTTGGCCCTGTTTATCCGGTCTTGGACGCCGTGCGCTCTGCCAGATGGAATAGGTAATTGCGCGACGATCCCCCTGCTGACTAGCTCTAGGCCGACAGGGGCTGAGTCGAGTTCGAAGAATCCCCCGACTTTTTTGAATAAGGCTAAATCTACCGCCTTTCAAAAGGCGAGTCGTCCCCTCCCCCCCCCCCCCCCCTCGACACGTCCCATCTGCACCCCGGACTCGGTTATACCCCAGAGATTGCCCTCGCTTCAAGTCCCGTTTTCGACACCAATAGGCGCGCGTGGATTATATTAAGCTTTATGTGCGTGGCTCGCCCTGGGGGTCTTATTGCGAATTACGACGGTCTTCATTGGACGCATCCCGGCGTCGTGGTATGGCGGGTAGGACAAGGCAAATGCCGCGTTCGCGAGAACGGGTATCGGCATCGAGCCACGTTTTACGCGCTCTCTGCGGACTTCCTAGTACATACATACATACATTAGGTACCTATCTATCTATCTATCATTTGCCTGTGAGGTCAGGTACCTAACCCATATACCCATATTTCGTGGTGGTCGGCTCGTTCTTGGCCTCGTGTCATTTGAGAGATTGATCTTTATCTTCTTTTCAAAATCTACCCAAGCATATAACCAGCACATTGCCAGAATCATAACACTTGGATCAGGCTAAATATGCTATGTTTTGTTAACGCAATGATAATTCCCCTTTAGGAGTCTTAAGTTCAATCGATTTCCTTACAACTCAACCATGGCTCTTTTTTATTGTCTTTATTTTGGAGCCGTTATAGCCGCGGATGTAATGGGCTGATTATGGGTTCGGTAAGGTTTTATACGTTATACCTAAGTACCTAAGGTATGTATACATTCGAAGTTACACTGGTCTTATAAGAAAAGTTTCACTGTTATTATTATACTAATCAAGTCAAACTTTAGGGCCGAGTTAAGTTTATCAAGCAAATGGAGACAGTAAAATTTTACTTCGAAAAGCCACGAGTTGTATTACTACTAACTACCTATTCGAAAGTAGCTTCTACTACTAGAATCGCATGTTTAAACATGGCGGGTTCTATGTAACTGGCCCCGATATCCAAAGCATTGAGGGCTGCTCAGCAGAGCCATAATTATCAATGCGGGATGATTAAACATCCCCATTTGCCGTCTTCGCCTACAATTATGTTAGGTAGGTCGATAATTTAAGCGCCGTTACCGTTGTAGACGACAGCGTTCACAGTGCCGCTGGGGATACCAGTCAGCTTGCCACTCGTGTAGAGAGCCTTGATGCGGCTGGTGACAGCGGCGGGGGTGGTGAGACCCTCAAGGGCAATCAGGTACAGAGCAAGACCGGTCACGTGGGGAGTGGCCATCGAAGTACCAGAGATGGTGTTGGTAGCAGTGTCTCCGCCGATCCACGAGGAGAGAACGTCGGTGCCGGGAGCGAAAACATCGACAACAGATCCGTAGTTGGAGTAAGAAGCAATTGCCCAGGAGGAGTCGATAGCACCGACAGTGATGGCGTTGGCAGCCGAGGCGGGCGAGGTGTTGCCAGCGTCGGTAGCGCTGTTACCGGCAGCTACGACAGACAGGATACCAGAGCTGTAAGCGGAGTTGACGGCGTTGTTGAATGCAGAAGATAAACCACCTCCTAGGGACATGCTAATAGCGGACTTGCTCTGGCGACCCTTGCTGATGATATCGTTGACGGCCCAGTTGAATCCGTCCAGGATGATTGAAGTGGTGCTACTAGTTCCCTGGAAGACCTTGACGGAGAGAATGGTGGCCTGCTTGGAAACACCGTCTAATATATGAAAACATTTCGTGTCAGCTTTGTAACCTTACAATTCTAGAATCTTTACCGTGTTCGACTCAGTCGAAACAATAGGGCCATCACACTTACTACTAAACGTCAGCAACTGTATTTCGAGACTATTCTAGAAGGGGGGTTCGAAAATAGCAACACGAGATGTTTTCAAACATACCATGTCGAACCGCCAATTGTTCCGGCAACATGGGTACCATGCCCCACAGCGTCAGCATCGCTGCCGCCGACGGCGTTGTAGGCGAGCGAAGCACGGCCGCCGAATTGTTGGTGTGTAGCGAGGATACCAGTGTCAACAATATAGGCAAAGGTGCCCTGTCCGGCGCTGCTGTCGTAGATATACGAGGTAGCGCCGGAGGTTTGGTGGGAGATGGTACCAAGACCCCAGGTAGAACCGGTCTGGGTAGTGAGAGCTCTCTTGGAAGCCTCAGGAGACTCATCAAAGAGGTAGTAGACCTGGTCCTCCTCAATCTCGGCGACCTAGTATAAGTGTCAGCATATCTGCAACCGAATATATGGTCTGAGGCGTGAAACGCGCGCTAAAGTGGAATACCAGGGGACGACGCAACCGTCCCCTTTTATGATCTGTTTCTAGACCTAAAGCTGCATTTGAAGTAGATGAGAATGCTGTTCAACTTACATCAGGGTGGCTCTTGATCTGCTCGATGGTCTCGGCGTCGAATTCACCGGCATAGGCGTTGAACTTGGCGATCTGGTACTCGTGCTCAACACCGACGGTATCGCGCTTGTTCAAGCTGCGGGCATGGACACTGCGGGCCCAGTTGACGTGAGACTTAAAGTCATCGGAGGTAACGCCCTCCTTGAGGGTAATGATGTACTTGTTGGGGATGATTTCTCTCTTCTGCTGAGTAGCAGGAGTGGGAGCAGCAACAGCCGCAGGGAGCAGAGCTCCGAGGAAGAGCACGAGGCGGCGAACGTTGAACATTGTGGACGATCTGTGCAGTTGATGAGAAGACTGTTGCTTGTGGCTCGGGGCTGTTGAACTTCTCTAAAACCTACTAGGCGGGAGGGATCAAAGCGGCTTATATAGACATTTCTGAAGCCTCTTCAAACCCCAAAATCCGCCATCGATGGTGACATATTGTATGCTTCATTACGAGATGGTCCGATGAGGTTCTCGAGGTAGGCAGAGTATCATCGAGCTTCCCAATCAGCCTTAGGAGTCAGACTAGAGCGCTTAAGAGACTTGGATGAGGGTCACGACGCGATTCAAAATACGGAAGGAGGAATAGGAAGCGCATGCGGGCAAAGTCATAAAGCACATGTAAGTGGTGGTCGAAGATTATCAAGAAGCTATACTCCGCGGTTACGATTCGACTCATCGTTCAATAATATAATGTAGGAGAAGGCCGAACGGGCAGGAAATCACTTGGCAATGCAACTTCGATGCCGAATAGTGAAGCTAAAAGTAGACCAGCAGGTAAACTACTGCGGGACAAGATGCAAGCAAGGCCAGCGGCATTCATAGTTAGACCGAGGTGCGGTTGCTCTGAAGCTATGCGATGGTGTGATAGACATAGACCTCCCGCTATATCGCTATATCGCTCCAGAAGAAGTGAGCCGCATAACCGTACCGGATCGGCAGGGACCTGCGTGCTTCCCCAGTGCTCTATTTAAGCTAGCCTTATACCAGCTATGCTAGGTAAAGATCACCTAAAGATAGTATCTCATTGAGGCTCACGCCGGTAGATTATAGAATGATTTGCGCCGTTACGAGTCGGGAATTAATCGCGAGGTATGACATAGAGCGCTCTGCAATTTAGAAGTTCAGCACGACACTGGCACCAAGCCCCTAAGTTCTGAATGATTGGGTTTCTCTCAACCTTGGTTCTTAGACGTTCTTGGACGTTCTTGGATGCCTGTGAAGCTGCCTGGGCGACCTGGGCTTTGGGTAGCATCAGATAAGGAGACTGGAATCAATATTATAAACGACATATAGCCAAGCCGTCAAGTAAGACACTCATCTAGGACACTCATCCAATGAGAAACTACGAACCATGCGCTCAAGGTCTTATCATGACAGGGCGGGGCTGAGATGGGATGCCAACTCAATCTTGGCAATACTGTAACTTTGGAGGAAGACCAACATCTGGGGAAGCTCGTAAAAAGCGGCTACTAGGGTAGAGCCGGCAAACAACTTGTATGACGAGGATAGCTCGGGAGTTGGAGCTAGGATACCAAGCATAGCAGGCATAGTAGGCGTGGTACGATCGGAGATTTAGGTCTGTTAGACATATGTATCTGAGTGATCTGAGAGCGCCAAGGCTGGGCGGGAGAGAGCGGTCCATGTTACTCTCTCACAAATGGAGCGATGTAACGCGGGCCAGGCTTGTCTGAACTTCAGAGCTTCCGTTTTTGTAATGCGACCCCCGACGGAGACGCATCACGTTCATCACGACAGAATGGCGCGAATAGGTGAGACTTGTTACCTTACCGCCTACCCATGATGACATCGTGACACATGAGGATTGCAACAGCATGGGAGGCCGTGCAGGACAGAAATGCTTATATTTTCTTGGGGAGTTTTCTCGTAATGAAAACCGTTATCTTCCCCGGTCCTCAGGGTTCGCAGCACCGATGCGATGGCACCTCAGTCGGAAATGCCGGTCTCGTGAACTAGGATGACCGATTCTGCTAACGCCGGGGTGAAGCCGGGCACGCGACTCTGCTTGCAATTTGTTGCTTAGATCTAGCTTACATTTGATGAGGATATAAGCATGGTGTAATCAAGATATGCGCTGGTGGAAGTTGAACGGTATGAAAAAAGGAAAAAAGGATGGACGAAAAGGTCAGACGAATAGATTTGTTGATGCAAGTTAATTTAGGTTTGCAAACACGTGCTGATTTTAATTTTTAATCAATTTAAGTAATCAATATCTTATGTCTAACCGGTTGGTCGATATACTCTATATATGCACTTGTTCAGACCTATGATAGAGGTACAGCACTGCTTAGTTACTTACAGCAGTATTATAGCGACTCTTACATGCACGTGTTGATTCCGAGACAATCCAATCAACATATTTGTTCAGCTTTCTCAGACAGGGCATTATTAGATATGTAGCCCTCAAGACGAATAAATATATGAGCCAAATTGCATGTAATGAGTTAGGTAATTTTAACTGGCCTCTGCGCAGTAATGTGTGCACCCAGTCAATTATCGAGTATATACCATTCAAGTGCATAGTGTTGTTATTGCCTAATGTAATATTTGATTGGTACATAATATATTGGGTAGGTACCGAAGCCATTGACACGTTATTTACGAAATCATATAAATTTGTGTTTATCTAATCCACAATAACCAATTGTTAAGTTATCCTTATAGGCCATGGGCTGGTTGCCTTGTGTTGTCATCCCATTATAGTTCACTCTATAGACATATTGCAAAAAGCGTGGCGGCGATAAGTACGGCTTATTTGTCAATCGATGCACCAAAGGATTCATACAGTGCAGGTATAACGTAGCATATATTTCTTCATGTAGATTAGGCACCTCGGTAGGCTTGAAGGCACTGCGATCCTTTAAGCAGAAAGCCTTACAAATCTTCTAATCCTTTTAAATGTAAAATGTGCAAGGTTTAAAAGATAAATATCCATTGTCGTGTTCCTACGTAAATATGAGCTCACTACCTTATGTGCAGTTGATTGATGTTAATCAAATTTACAAAGCTTGAAATTAAAATTAGTTAGTTATAGTCTTCAATTCTGCAGTTTCTCAATTTCGATAACACAGTACGCCTGGATATCTCATATTATATATACCAGCGCCTGGACGGAGTGGGATGGCTTAAATTATTTATTGCGGAATAACGCCACATATACGTGTTTGGTGAGAACTAATATTAGGTATCCCTAAGAGTTTGTAATGCCAACCTAAAAAAACAAAATGTTGTTCTTCTCCGCCTCTTGTTCTTATTTTTCCAAATTGAAAGGTTTTCAAAGCGTGTAGCCTTTCGAGAATTCTTTGACGTGATCTATTTGAATTCCTTGTAGAGAGTTTCAATCATGACAAGTGAGTTAACCTACTTTTCATATCACTTCAAGTATCAGCCTTCAATTAACTTTTGGTCTTTAATTAGGCGATATCTGCTTAGAAGAAATCCGTGTTTCAAGCCAAGAAGATATCGATAATCTGAACTGCTCCTGCGGCGATGATAGTGGTCCTTATATTTACATCACTAATTTCACCGACAAGCTTGATTTCCCACATTGTTTAGCGGCAGAACTTATCAGTATATATGATAGTCCTAGGTTGAAAGAAATAAGCTTCCCCGACCTGGATCGTCTACCACTACCACACCTCTTAATACGGGATGCTACGGAGCTCAAAAATGTTTCATTACCACACCTAAATTCAGACTTTCAAGACCATCCTGGTCTCTCCTTGGATTTTCTCGGTATACCAAAATTGAAAAACATCACCTTCGGAAACATTACCAATCTAGCAGGAGTCAATCTAACCAACTCGGTGTTAGATGAGTATACATTCTTCAATATAACCTCAGTTGATAATCTAATAGTTGAGGGTATCTACGACTTCGAAAACCTCAGATCCGTGGAGACTTTACAACTTATAGGGCGTTATTATAACCCGAGAGCGTTCTTGAATGTAACATCGCTCCAAAACCTAACATTTACCAACACTATAGATAGCACGCCTTATTTTGGTGATTCTTTACTGATTAATAACTCTCTGGTGATAGAGAATTGTTACAGTGTGGACGAATCCAGTTATCCACAGCACGAATTCCACTATACAATGGATGATGTTGCGCATATTAGCTCAATTGGGTCATATCTACGGGCAAGCAACAATACAGCTATCGAGTTGAATTTTCGCCAATTAACAGATATAAACGGAGATATATCTATTTACAAAAATACCAATTGCACATTGGACTAAAACCAGCTTTCGGATGTTGCAACATTATCTCTAGTCGATAATGCTAATACTACCTTACCTTGGTTTCCTCGGCTGCAAAGAGCTAACAATATTCACATCCGAGGATATATCGATACGTAAGTTCAGGCTTTATATTCCGTCATCTATCAAAGGCGCTGCTAAAACGTGTCCAGTTCTCCCGGACCCAATATCTTCCCAGCTTTGACAGCAGTGTCGGGAAATGTCACCATAGAAGCATGGAACGACGACTTCAACTGTTCAAAGCTGGTAGACCAATATCAAAACGGTCTTATTCATAACTTGGCATGCAATGGGACTAACAACGTAACTGGACCCAACATGGAAAGCTCTCCACAAAATGCCTCATCAGAGTTGTCTCAAGGAGCATGGGCTGGTATCGGAACAGGCATAGGGATATTTGTCATATGTACCGTTCTCGGCATGATATGGCTTCTTCTACGCCTCAGACGTTGGAGAGAGGAGCTTATGGGAAGAATAAGGCAACAGGAGGTCCAGCAAGACTATCGTCGAGATAGCCTAGAAATGGAGCACGAACCACCAAATCTAAACATCCTATTCGAGAGTGATGGCACGGGAATCATACGAGAAAAGCCGGACGACCACCTCCGCGAAGCCGGTGGTGAAGTAGTCATTGCTGAGCAGCCAGATGATCATATACGCGAACTACCAGTGCCACCGGCAGAGCTGGAAGGGGCACCAGGCATGGAGATAAGGATATGAAAGATGGGAGTAAGGAGTAATAGGGGAATTCATCATGGGCAGGAATTCTACTAAGAATACACGGCACGAAAGTATGGGCGGTTTACTTCCAGTTTCTTAGTAGGCGTATAGGTTAGGTTTTCGGCTCACTTAAATATAATTATACCAGAGCATGTTATATACGTTAGGTACATAATAGCGTAGAATAGGACCGCAAACATGAATGAGATATGTTCTAGCATAGGGATATGGCATAACTCGGAATTAACAATTCTGGTCCTAGTAGTAAGTATAGGTATCCTAGCGGTAGGTATGTTAATCTAATTTACAAATTGTATGTCACGAATTGAAAAACCACAGTCTGCAGAAGAGTGAATCTATAAACGCCTGTCCCTATGCTAAGCTACATGCGATCGAACCCTCCATCATTTATACATGCTAAAAGCTCCCCCGTGGTAATCAGTAATCACCACCGGGATTGCCGAACCACCTGGGCCACAAAACCGCCTGGGCTACAGAACCAACCACCCGGGCATTGTAAATCCTATCGCTGATAGGCCATCGTATATACATGTTCCTAACAATCAGCCTGAACCTGCAAGCCACCCCTGAACTCTCCGCTCTACCAACAAGTCCCGAGAACCAAGGCCTCCCTCGAAATCAGCGCGTCGCTTATTTCCAGTGGCACTCGACGAAGGCGCCCCTGTTGGCGGCGCCGGTGTGGGTCATCAAGCCGCAGAAGGTAATGTCGACCTTTCCGGTCTTCTTGTTCTTGGCGGAGACGTTGACGACGACGCGGTCCGTGCCTGGGTCGTTGCCGGTGTAGACCTTCTTGTTCTGGAGGATGGGGAACTCGTAGAGCGAGCCCTTGCACTTACTCTCGAAGTTCCTGATCTCCTGGCCGCGGTTGTGGAAGACGTGGGGGTATTTCCCGGTGCCGATCGCCTTGTTGCGCGTCTTGAGCTTGCCGGCTTGCTCGCCGGCGTCGTGCATATGCGCCGTGCTGTACTTCGCCTGCGCGCAGGTCGCGCTGCGGGGGAAGCCCTTGAGAGTGAACTTGGGACGGACGGCGCGGTCCTCGAGGGAGCGGTCCTCGAGGATTCCTTCGATCTCCCGGATGTCGATGGAGTTTTCTAGATCGGTTATCTCGACGATGTCCTCGACCGGGACGACCAGGGAGGTCCCTAGGGAGAGGAAAAGAGCGGTGGTAAGGAAAGTGATTGGCTTCATTGTGAAGACGTTTCGAAATGAATGTGATACTTAGAAATGAATGACAGATGCCTTTGAGTGTTGGCTGTTGGCTGTTGGCTGTTGGTTGTTGGTTGTGTTTGAGGTATGGAAGGACGATGAGTGACCTTTATATATTATACATGTCGAATAGCCTGGTCACTTCATCTATTTACTTGAGCCTCCTAGATTCATACTACATCTACTACATCCATTTGGAAGATACTTCATTTGGCTCGGCAGCATTACCAAAATAGAACCTACTCGTATACGGCCAATGAGAAGTTATGATTAGATCGATGATTGATGATAATCCCATGCCGATGTGTATAACTACCGGGGCATGTGTTTGCATATTATTAAAATGGCTTATACGGTTTCACTATTCACTATATGCTGATGTAATTAATGCCACTGGAAAATGTATAGAACATAGATAGACCTTGTAGGGATGAACGAAAATAGGCATTGGGTAGCATAGTGCGATGGGTTTAAGCTGTAGATGGAAGTTGGGAATTCTCGTAAGGCTTAACGATGGCGTGGGACAGCATAAACGGAAGGAGCTTAATTGACTTTTCTAATATATTGCAAACTTCATATCTTTCTTATAAGCAGCTTGTTTCTAGTTTATTTTCAGCTTGCCTAAGCCTAAGCTTACCTAGCGTGCTGAGGATCAGGGAGGCTCAGCTGTGTACCCACACGATTCACACGGTTCACACGATTTAAGCTTGGCGCATGCCCCTTTTACGTTAGAATGCTCTTTTGTTACATAATATGGCTTAAACACCGCCCTGTTGTAAGTCGATATGGTGTTCCCCTAATCTAGATCCTCTGATCCTACAAATCCTCCCTTTCCTAGTATTGCGGCACCTGAGACCTAGCGGACAATGTGGTATATTACAAGTATTACAGACTTTATTACATGCATACCTATCTCAAAAGACACGTGATTGTTAAATTGTTCAAGCAGCACAACCTTTGTAGAGTCTCCCCTTTTAAGTTATCGCGGCTGACTTTTCCTTGGGTTTTCGTATCTCATTATTCGCATCTCCAACACAAACCCTCTTATCATTTAACTATATCTTGTAAAATGGCACCGTCAATCGATTCATTCTTTGACAAAAAAATCGCTGATCGATGGGGTCCAACGCGAAATGAGTGAGCTTTCGTCGTCTTTACCCTTACCTTAAGGCTAGCTAATCGCCGACAGGGCGAATGCTCTCCGCGAGCTTCTCCGGGGGAATATCAGCCACGAGGAAGCAGCTACGAGGTTTACAAGCGATGTTGCTGCATCTCGCAGCGCTGATGTGGCCAACGGATCTTTATGGGGTGTATGGATGCTACTCCAGGAGACAGCAAAAAAGTATCCTGAGCACCATGCCAAGGTAAACTGTTACCATTAAGACGATCTTCTTTCCTTTTCTTAATCTGACCGTTTGAAGCTGGTCAAATTGGTAGATGCTATTCGGCAACTTCCAGACCTCGTAATCAAGGGAGAAACGGCCGTCAAGTGGCCTGAACTTCCGAAAATGGCAGAAGTATGGGGAGAAAATGTCTATGATCGTGAGTGATAAGTCCTGCGCTCGCTTATCTACCTAGGTACGGAGAGTTGACACTCGATAGGAGACGAATTGGCCTATTCCGAAGAGCATATAGCAGTGACCGCATTCACGGCCCAGCTTTGTGCCCGACAGCTTGTCGATGCCGACGATTTTCTGGCAATGGCAGTAAGAGATTTTTATGCTGCTTTTGAGCAGACCCCTGCAGAAGCTGCTGATGTTAAGGGAGACAACGTTCGGCTATTGAATGTCAATGTGCCTATCGCGGCACAATGGATCCTGCACGCTGGAGAGGTAATTTACAATTGCGAAGAGAGTTTTAATCTTAAGTCAAGCGATGGCTTATGGACGGGGAACCCTGGATTCAGCTGGGGTAGATGGAAGCTGTGGAAGGAAAGGGCAGAATGGGTATCTGGCCTCGAGAGGGTGGTAAGACAAGAGACAATAGACATGGCTAAGAAAATGGTGGAGAAAATGAGTCAGATAGAGAGTGGAGAGGCTTGATGGAAAGAGGTAGGTATACAAAGGTGAATAGCTTGGCTTAATAGAGGAATTGATAGAAGTGCGAGCGTGTTTAATAATTGACTTTTACGGTGTAATGTTTTTGATGTTTATTAGAATTGCATTCCACGGTCCTTCCATGTTCTTATAATAGGAGGATGTCGGCAAAGTGCTCCGCCGACCTAAGCTATGTACCTACATGTAGGTTAGGTACCTACCTAGGTAGGTTAGGTAGGTATGGTACTTACCTACTTACATACCTAGCACTAGGCTGCCAGGGTAGCTCTGTGTCTGAGGAAGTGACGTTAATTTTAGCGCGTTACGGCGCTACAACATAGAAGGTGTCCCCAACTCAAATCAAGGGAGCAACTGAACAATGAGAAACTACAAATTTCTCTGACGTAAGTTCGCGCCGGCCCGCTCGAGCATCACAACTTCTTTAGCAACTTCAACTTAAGGAACTTTAGCATTGTTGTAAAGATGCTTTAGTTTGATAAATTCAATTTCTTATGAGCTGGTTTCCGTCGCTTCGATTTCACAATGGATATATCCAATTCGGGAGGTACGGCTGCAAACGAGTCAAGCTTCTAACCTACATGATTCTTAAACTTCACCTCAACTGACCAACTTATTAACTTGTTCTTACTATACATGTAGATATCTCCTGGACATCTATTCCCACCGACCTACTCCTTGCTGAGCTATCCAAAAGACAGCATGGCCATGGAAGTTCCACACCCGATACCGAAAAGCCAGCTTGCGGATCAGGCGAGCGAGGCGCATACAACACAGCGCTTCACGTCTTCGCTTTATTCCTAATACTTACATTAAGCACGCTAGGTAAGATATCAAAGTTACAGCTGCCGTCGAGTTTAATTAGGTACCTACGTAGTTTAGAATCAATACCTATGCTAACTGATATTGCGCGACGATTCGTAGCTTGCGGTTTTCCTCTCTTCTCCCGCCAGTCCTCTAAGAGTCGTCGAGCCAATACGATTGTATTTCTCAGCCAACACTTTGGCACCGGCGTCCTACTCGCAACTGCCTTTGTTCACCTTCTTCCGACTGCTTTTCTATCTTTAACCGATCCCTGTCTCCCTCATGCATTCAGCGAGGGATACCAACCTATGGCGGGGTTGGTAGCTATGGTCTCAGTTCTGGTTGTTGTGGCGTTGGAATCGTATCTGACGACTAGGGGTGCTGGTCATTCGCATGGCCATGCGTGGAACTCGGAAGACGAAGAGCTGCAGGAAGAAGACAAGAATACCGTGGCCAATGGTGGATTATCGGCAAGAAGAGCTACGAGCCACAGGCCGACAGATATTGCGCTCGGTGATATGAGCTCCAGTAGGGGTTTAATGGCAGATGTTTCCCCACTTCCAGATTCTACGCCGATCGTCGTATCGCCGCCGAATAAGAAACATTTTAACAATAACGATGACGGGGAGAGTGATTCAGACGATAACGATGACCAAGATCTCGACCTTAATCTCAATGAGCTCGACCCCACTGCGGAAGACGACGCACAGCCTCTGGCCCATCCTAAAGGAAGCAACCATACAAGACGACACTCCGAATCTGCCATATCTCAAAGCCCGCTAACACCCGAAGAGCAGAAACGACTAATGCTTCAGTGCATGTTACTAGAGGCCGGGATTCTATTCCACAGTATCTTCATCGGTATGGCTGTGTCGGTTGCTACAGGACCCCCTTTCGTGGTTTTCCTGATTGCTATCGCATTCCACCAGACCTTTGAAGGCTTCGCCCTCGGATCTCGTATAGCCGCGATCCAATTCCCCCGATCATCTATACGTCCATGGCTAATGGTCTTGGCATATGGGCTTACTACTCCCATCGGCCAGGCCATCGGGCTCGCTGTGCATAGGTTGTACGACCCGCGTAGCCAGACGGGCTTGCTCATGGTCGGCTTTATGAACGCCATCTCGAGCGGCCTCCTGCTGTTCGCGGGCTTGGTGCAGCTTCTTTCCGAGGACTTCCTCACCGAGAAGAGTTATAAGGCATTGAAAGGGAAGAAGAGAAGAAATGCTGGCTTGGCTGTCCTGGCAGGTGCCACACTCATGGCTCTTGTTGGTGCTTTTGCGTAAATCTAATTGATAGATCCTGATTGTAGAATTTTGGCGTTTCCGGATAGGGGTTATCTGAGACGAGGAATGTTATAGATGGCTACTAGGTAGATGAGATTTTGTCACTTCGATCGGAGGTTAAATATGATTCTGGAGTCGTCATGGTCACATGAAAAATTTTGGTCTCAGCTAATATCAAGAAATTGCCTTTCCCCGGTCTGGTCTTTTTTATATACATGAGTCCCGAGATATATTCCACTGATCTCAACCAATTTAGGCTGCTTTAGGTACCGCCGTTGCCCAGGGGTAGGTCGTCGACATTGGGGAGCCGTAGCTACCGAGGTCATTGTAGTCCTTGGTGATGGTCTGGTTCTGGAGGACCTTGGTCACGAAGGGGAGGACGCTGTTGCTGGGGTCGGAGTTAGCATTGAAATCAACATAGGGGGGTTTCTAAATCGCGAAATAAGGGGTACTTACAATCCGCTCATATCGCAGTGGCCGCCACCGCGGACAGACATGGCAATCTGGTCCGGAACACCCAACCAGTCGTATACAAGCTTCGCAGCAGGGTACACGACAACCGAAGTGCCCTTCGAGTTAGTAAACTGGTCGCCAGTGCCCTGGTCAATGACAAGAGCACGCGGCGCAATCGCAGCAGCAATGGTATGCGCGTCGTACGGCAAATTCTCCGCATGGTTAACAAAGGTGCCCAGGGTGTTGTCGGTCCACCAGCCGGCGCCGCTCTTGCTGTTCTCAAGCGTCTCGTCCTGGCCGCTCAGCCCGTGGTACCGGTACGGACCCAGCCCCTGCACGCCGCTGCTCATGGGCATCGTCAGCGTGATGCGCTTGTCGAGCAGGCCGGCTGCGAGAGCCGCTTTGCCGAGGCGCGAACACCCGGTTACGCCGACGCGGGCGCTGTCGATCTCGGGGACGGTGGCGTTGAGCGCGTCGAGCACGCGGTGGAAGCCCCATGCCCATGCTGTGAGGACGCCTATGGGGGCAGGTTATGTACGTTAGCCTTGGGGTTATTCGTCATACATAGGTAGGTAGGTATGTAATAAGTATAGGGTATATGGTATAGGGTATAGGGTATAGGTGGGATAGAGCGAGTCTTCGTACCGATGTCCCGGCCGTTGTAGATGTCCCAGAACGCGCCTATCTTGGAGTTGCTGTCGGCGGCGACGCGCGTGTAGTCGAAGCCGACGACGGCGATGCCGGCTTGTAGGTATGGCTGGTCGGTCATGCCGCCGATGTTGATGACGACGGGTGCGGGCTTCGTCGAGGGCAGCGATACCGTGGCGCTGAACTTGCCGGTCTTGCCGCCGGCTGTTACTTCGATGTTTACCGTGTTGCCGCTGCGTGTGGCTTTGACTGTTTCTTGCGAGTGGTCGGGGTAGTAGCCGTACCTACGAACGTGTTATTATATACTAGCACTTCGATCCCCCCCGACAGCTGAAGGGGCTTGTTGTCCCGCGGGAGCGCATTCTTGCCGGTGGACTTACTGGTACTCCTGCAACATCTGAAGGAGCTCAGGCTGGCGGCATTGGTACCATTCCTCGGGCGTCTGGATCCGGTTCTTGCCCTTACCCGCGATCACGTCGGACGCGAAAGATGGGTCGCTGCCGCCCTCGCTGTCGGTCGTCGTGTAGGCTAGCGGTAGCCAGGGGTCCGGAAGCGTCGTCTGCTTCGGTAGCTTTTCCCACGTGGGGTACTTGCCCGCCGACGGGACTGGCGCGCATTCGGCTGCTGCTGGGATAGCCGCTCCTAACCACGGGAGGGCCACTGCACCAAGGATGACGGCGCGCTTGGGGGAGGGCATGCTGGGCAACAGACCTTTGTGAATAGACGCAGGTGAAATCGGTTGTAGAATCGAGGGCGTAGGTTATTTCGAGGGCTCGTGGAGACGACGGAGAACTAATATATGATCATATACGCGGTTGCGGTGAGGTCACATCGGCTCGTCCCGGAACTTGGACCTCCTTGCCGTACATCGATATTGCCGCTACCCCGAGACAGCTAACCGGGTATTTCTGGTAGCATGTAGGTTAGGTAGTTAACATATTCCTTGAGGCTCATCGATCAAGTGCAATAGTATATTTTTATGTAAATATCATTTTCCTCTTGCCTCCTTTCTCCTGCTTACACTGGTTTCCTTTCCAATCGTACCCGTGCATTATCGTTCACCTCTTCCATTCCGGATTAGAGGTTCTCCAGCACTACAGTTCAACAGAAAACATCATATGCTCCAAGACCCAGATCGAGATGAAAAGGCCACGCGCCAGGATCTTTGAGGGTCTGGGCGGCTAGACCGTCCAGGGTGATATCGAGACTTTAGCCGGTAAGCGTAAAGACAGTTCACCACTACCCCAGGATATGGCCGGATTGATGCGGAGAAGCTATTTTTATCGAACTATCGGTTATTGTGTATATTTTCATCCGAAGCGGTATACTGCCTAACCTAGTCTCATTCAACACCGAAGTCTAGTACGGCCATCGCCCCATGTTTTCGGTTCGCATGGCTGTTGTAGAATCTTGGTATTGTGTATTAGAGATAACTATCTCCACGCTACATGCAATAATTATACGGAAGGAGTGGAAATAACAAATGCTAGATATCTATTCGGAAGTGGCTTTTTTTAGTCCGTCGCTAAGAACGAGGAATAACGGAAGTTGACCGATTCATCCGGGCCCCCACCCCGTTCCATCTTCCGTCCCCGTCCGGAAGTCTCCGGCACTCAGACACTTACATATTAACGTCATTCAAACCCACCTTTTCCTTTTCTAGTTCTTATCAGTAAATCAAGTAGTCTGACGCATGTCACGATTTGAAGAGAAATGATTAATCAAATAAGGTTGCCAAAAGATTCGCAACAGAAAGCGGGTTGCTCTTCGTCTAGGTTAAGGGGTTTGAGATCAGACACGCGAGATAATCACATCACGAACAAAAGCCAAGGTAGAAGGCCACGTCAACGCCCACGTAAGAAATATGATTCTAGCTTATTATAATAGCGACATGAAAATTTTGAAGCGTTTTATTTCCGTTATATACTATCAACTTATATTATCCACTTTTTTCCCGTTCTGACTACCTACTTGCTATGCGTCCCCGACCTCTTACTCTTTGTGCTGAGTAGAAGGTATATAAGTTATTTTGACACTTGGGACTATCACGTACGACCATAGGATCTGGAAAACTCGGGATCCCGTCCGCTCTCCCCTTCGATAAACCAGATACCGCTGGATTAGTAGTTGGGTCGGTGACGACCAGCGAATCCCCAGTGTTGTACGTTTTTATTTTTTTTCCTTTTCCTTTTTACTTCCTTTTCATATTTTATTCCTGGCCTGTATTTTTATTTATGCATTCTAGGTCGGTCGCCAATTACGTTCTAGGACTGTGGGTAGTCGTGTTAAGAACTACGAGAGTGGGTGTGTAGTGTTAGTTTGATGAGAGAAACTAGACATGTAACCAAATGGACTATGGTAACATTGGTAACATATATCTAGGCCTTTAGAGTGATTCCTATCCGATTAATTTTATAAAATGCTTACTTCAATTTTATTTCTATGTTCTATGGATGTGTGGCCTTTTTGGGTATGTTTAGCCTGTGAGATTTATCACACTATTATATTTACGAATCGCCCAATGGTCTATGATATTCCCCTATTTTATTTAGGGTCTCTAGACGATAAGAACACCTAAAATTCATATATCGTTTATAATAAGATAGGTATGTAATCCATTCGATAGAAGTTAAAGGAGCTAAGAGAGTCCCTGATGCTGTGAAGTACATAAATCCAAAAATAGGGGTAAAAGAAAGGGGTACCTATCAATTTTCAGACACTCACGATATCTTCTATCTTGCATATGGGATTAAGAAGGCCCTCATCGAGGATATTATGAGTGGAAGAGTCATAAGTCAACAAGTACCTGAGTCACCATAGCTACGAGATCCACACCATCAACATCCCTCAACACTGTTCATACGCAAACAACACCCAGCAACAACGACAGAACACCCCCCCCCTCACCGCCCCAGCAGAAACTATATAAACAACCCGCCCTCCCTCCAATTTATTTTTCTCCCTTCTCTTCCCCATGCCTCCCCAGCCCGCAGCCTTTTCTTATTTCTTTTGTATTGTCGCCTTTTTGGTCTATGCTGCATAGTACCCGCACACACGGGGAATCGACAAGTTGTGCTGCGCTGGTCAATTTTTGGAAATAGCTCCTTTTTTTTGAATCCGCTGCACGTCTGTCGTGCAGGAATTTTTGGAAACGCAATCACCCCTTGGGCGAGCCACAGACACATCCTTTTTTTTCGTTGATTCCGTGGCCTGGTGCCGTGGGTTGAGGAAGAGCTTTGTCTATCCGTCTGTCTGTCTGTCTGGTATGAGGGAATGTGATGGGACGTACTATGGTGTGGTGGTGTTTGAGTGATGAATAGGCAGAGGCTTGCTACTTATATGTACCTAGGTATTATCTATGGATTTGTGGGTGGAGTACGATACTTGGCTAGGTATGTTGTGAAAAGAATATGCCACGCTGTGTAGTTTTACCTAAATTAGAGGCTCTCAGCAACTGGACTCAGAACAAGGTAAATGTCGCAGAGACTATGATCGTGGAATAATGATATTGTTACAATGTCAACCAGACAAATATCCCGACCCCAGCAGTTAAGTTAGGCTACTGTCACTTCACAAGTACCAAGGACATAATATGTTCGAGCCTGTCGAATTATGGAATTTAACTGTATATTCTCAGACATCCCAAGGAAATCTCTTATGGCTATGACCCATCCATGCAGGTCTTTATTCAGCCTATCCCTCCATATAAACAAACATGCAACCCAATACTTTTCCCTAACCGTGCTCTATTTGGTATCTACCATGCTGCATTCGTAAAACAAAACTTTCATTAGTATATAAGAGAAAATATCCAGGGACCACTTTCTATCAAAAGCATCCGTAATCTAATATGTTCATGCCGATGCGAGGAAGTGAGGCGCGTTAAGAAATAGACCCATGAGTACGCCGCCAAGGGTACCGGCGACGGGAATTGTGGCGATCCACGATAAGACCAAAAGACCGACACGCTGGAAGTTGACAGCCTTTATGGTGCCGTTGCAGAGACCGACGCCGACGGTAGCGCCTGTGATGCACATCGATGTAGACACGGGAAGAGAGTACTGAGAGAATACAAGCACCGTGATTGCGGCACCCATCTCCATAGAGCAACCTCGGCTAGGGGAGTGATAGGTGATCTTGTTGCCCATGACCTTCATGATGTTGTAGCCATACGTGATTAGGCCGATGGAGATCATCGCAGATAGGACAGCGAGTTGCCAAATAGGAACCTGAGCAGTAGACTCTGAAGCTTTACCGGTCTTCCACGCGGAGTAGATGACGGCCCAGGGGCCAACAGAGTTTCCAATATCGTTAGCACCGTGAGCGAACGAGGCAGTACAGGCCGTCAGGACCTGAATGAAAGAATATGTGTGTTCGACCTCGTTAGGGTACTTCTCCGCATGGGCGTAGACGCGCTGCATGCGCTTACCCTCGGGAGTGCCGGAGATACCAGACTGCGCGGCGTGGATATCGTAGTGCATGCCATAGAGCAGGCCGCTGGTGACGACTGCGGGAATACGCTTTATGAGGATCTTCATGTTGTGGAGCTCGTAAATTTCACCAGCACCCATAGGGTTGTCGCGGAGCGTGCGCATAGCCCAGCCCATAGGCCCACGGCTGTTGAGGAGCTTCTCGTGTAGCTTGCCCTCACCCTGCGTAACGATTTCCTTGTACGTGGTTTGCTTGGCCTCGATTGTGACGAGCCTTTTCTCGTTCTCCTCGTTAGAGCTCGAAGTAGCCGGGTGATCAGAGATGGATTCGGAACGTGTGGAAGCGCGTTCCTCTTCCTCGTCTTGGACGACGGCGTAGTTGGGAATGTTGGCAGCCTCGGAACTCTCGGGAACCGGGCGCTTGAAGAGGAGGGGGCCTTGGATAAACATCCACCATTTGACCGAGTGATCCCGCCTGATAACCTTTGCGTGTACGAAGGGGACGAAGAATAAAGCTGAGAGGAGGGCGACACCACCGCCACAACCCATAGTGACAGCAGCTACGTACCAACCGGGCTTCTTGTTTAAGCCGAGACTAGGAGAGCCCTTGTACACGATAGACAGAGTACATACGGTAGCGGCAACGAGAAAGAAGAAAGGCGAGGAATAGACAGCCCAGGGAATCGGGTTCTTGCGAACGTGAACGACGAGCTTGATGAGCATGAAGAAGGCGGCACCGAAGCCTCCGGCGATGGCGGGAGCCATTCCAAGACCGGCAAAGATGGCACCAAGACCCTTACCGTTGTTCCAGCCCCATTGGACCTGCGAGGCGCCGACGGTTGCGACACCAACACCGGCGACGGCGGAGATAAGAGAGTAGGTGGACGACACGTGAGCCGAGTGTCGCGTGCACCACATAACCCAAGTCGAAGCGGCAGCCAAGGCACAAGTGAAAGCGAGCATCTGAACACCGGCGTTTCCACCGAAAGCTGTGTAGGGGATGATACCATTCTTGATGGTATCGGCCGTGCGGGCACCGACCGTGATAGCTCCGAGCATTTCGAACACGGTGCCAAATATCATAGCTTGTCTGTACGAGATGGATCTCGACGAGACACTGGTAGCCCAGGCGTTTGCAACATCATCTGAAGAAATTGTTAATATCTGATGAACATATCTGGTGAACTTGCTCGGATACACGCGTGAAGACAGTAGAGACAAGTATAATTGGTCGGATTAGAGATTACTTACTGGCACCATTGTTGAAGGCATCGAGCATGGCAAACAGGGTGCCGATGACAAAGATGTAGGTGTACTGGTCGAGAGCCATTTTGACACGCGCGGACAGAGGCCGTCAATGTCGGTATCGAAGTCGAAGATCGAAGGTCGATTTCTCGTTGATAACAAGTCGCTGGTTATCAAGAGAAAGGTAGAAAGGGGGACAAAGAGCGATAGGGAGAATATATAGGTCCTACCCGAGCCTATCTCCGCAACATATCAAGGTCGTCCAAAGCTACCTCATATGGCCTTACCGAGGGGCATCGAATCCTGACAAACACAGGGTTGACCTTGCATTTCACAAAAGCATGCTTTTTTAATTCGGCCAGGAAAGCCACTTTCACGAGTGCGGCCAGTCGGCCGTTTTCCCATCCACGTCTAGGCCTGCCCGGCTGGGCAAGGCTTGTATGTCTTGCCAGTGTCGAGGCAGAATTGGCTTACTTGGCGCATCTTGGCGACACGAGAAAGGATTTCAATATCCGCGATAATGCACAAAACTGTAAGGGTTGATAGGCCGACGACTCTGGTTCGCGGCGAGTTCGCGGCTGAGGCTCTTGGCGGGGCACAAGACTCCAGCGGACCCCAGGGCTCGCGTGGGCCAATGGAAGGTCTCAAAGGACCCCACGTGTGAAGATCTGCCGTTGTGAACGGCTCCCATGGAGTACGGGGGGACCCCGTCTGCCCAGACGCCCGGAAAGCCACTGACAAGGGGTCCTCGAGCTAGTGACGAGTCGGGCCAACCGCTGGTATCAAGAATATCAAACGACAACAATTGCCTTCCTGCAATGGAATAATTCTAGAACAGAAATAAAAAGTTCAGCACTCGTCACGCGTCCAATGATATGCGTTCTGAGAAAATACCTAGGTTAGGACCTCGGTACATATTTTAAGGTTGATCGATCATATTGATGTTCTACAAGTGATACGTCAGTGAAACTATATTCTACCCACGTTTTCGTGCTCTTGTCGACAATATTAGACTCACCTCGCACATGAATTTTAGAAAATCCATCTCCTCTCGGTTGTTTAGCCCGAGAACTAGAACGGGTATTAGCGTTGAACTATTATATGGAGAGGCCGCATTCGGCACCATAATAAGCTTTAGCTTAGTACTTAGGTAGTATCTCATACGATATACTTAACTGGTGGTGTTGTAGCTCGTCAAGGCATTAGAGAATCGACAACGTGCACCACGGTCTGACTCGATAACTCGAAAGAGACTTCGGTCGCGAGAGTGTGGGACGGTTATTATTGCGCGATCGAGCCACAGGACTTCATCCGAACCACTAGAAATATCTCTCCGTCAATATTCGAGGGCTTGTCCCGAATCCAGGCGGATTACTCGGTCTGCTCGCTTTAGTAAAATCATACTAAAGTAACGTTATACTATTAACTAGTTGATTGTCTAGGTATGCTATTAATAATTTTTAATAATGGTTTGGACATACCTATGAAATAGTAGTGTGGCGGTTTACTATGTTAGTGCAAGATGAGATGGGATTGTGAGAATTCAGTAACGCTAATGAAACTTGCAGCAGTGTAGTTGTAAAGATGTCGCACGGCCACGTGCTCTCCCAAAGTTCAAGAAAGTTCAAGTTGCCAAGAGCCGTGATCGTATAGCTCTACCATTTTAGTAAGGTGCGACCGAGCCGCTTGCAAAGTGGCAGGGTGGATATCGCGACAGCCCTGACCTAAGTCTAAGAAGTCCCGCATTAGTTCCGATCTTAGGAACCAGGAAAGTTTCATTACACATGACCTTTAGATAAAATTGACATAAACCTTTACGACTTTGGTATTTCCTATTTTAATACTTATCGGCACTAAAATAGTAGGTCCTTTTAGGAACACCATGTTTCAACGTCGTATTTGTTTCTGTAAAGTATTGATATGGGTAGGAACGGATGGTCAACTCCGCCTAAGATGAAGCTATTTCTATTTCAAGTTATTATCTGTATCAACCAGTTCTAGTTGAACCATGAGGAAGTATAATACCCTACCGAGGCTAGATAACTGGAAGCTCTTTATCCTAGACGCCTCGGTAGTCTAAGGATCTAATAGTATATAGTTGACAGAGATCTAGGTTAGTTAGTTACTTAGACACTCACTAACTACTTTTATATTATTCATACCAAGACTCATGCCTTTGCCACCACTCTTCTAGACCGAAAAACCGAGAGGCCATTTATCGGCTACCAAACACGGATCAGTATAGGTAGCATGATTATGATAATCTGATGGTCGTTACTCATGCGGAATTAATTTAGGATGGTTATAAAAGCTCGAAACGCAAAGGAAAAATACCAGCTATGAAGATTCTTGCTTTGTTCTTCTCAATCAGAGACCGACAGTGTCATAACTCTTGATATGATTTCTTTTCTAGCCTAATAATTATTTCAATAAGTCAGTAGTAGCTCCAGCTATGAAGGAATCAGAAAGAAGCAATATGGGGGAAATAGGAGTACCTGGAAAAATAAGAATCGTCAAATTAAAATTATTTGAAATAATCTCTAGGTTCAAAGCCGAACTCATGATATAGTTTTTAATTAACCCGAGGCTTTCATTGCTGATTCTCATTCCTAGGAGGGGTCAAAGGGCATGACATTCATAATCCATAGACCAGGCAATCATCGTCATGAGAAACTGTCATCTTTGAGTTGTCAAAACATTGAGCGTGATCCTCAAAAAATAGCGCCGATGAGTGGCTGGCCTGTCGCCAAACGGCATATATGCAAGGAGGAAGGTAATCAGGTCTACATTATTGGCTGGGAAAGCGTAGCACTCTAAGTGGGCGCTTGATTGCCGCCCAATATAAACCAATTATTCCATGCCAACAAGCAGGTGAGGCTCTGTAGAACAGACCATGAAAATAAGATGCAAAATGACCTGTCAGTGAAGTTTTATTAAGTACCTCAAGTTTCGTGCCCCTCTCGTAAATAATGTTGCAGTAGGTTTGTGGCAGTAAATTTCTCAACTCAATAGTTTGGTATCATGGAGTCGTATCAAATCGGATTATATACTGTTATTATATTAGCAGCATCCAAAGTTATCTTTATTGCGCTTGAGATCATTAATGCACGCAAGCTAAACGCTAGGTTCTTGCGTGCGTCCGGATATATATCCGCGCTCTTGGCCCTTCTCCTCGGATGTGTGTCGTTTGTAGGGTTACGAGCAAAGGGGCCAGACCAACCTGGCCAGTGTAAAAGCGCCGATGCGGACATAGTGGGAGATGGTGTTCGCGCAGCTTCCTGGGCGCAAGTCGGATTGCTATTCTTCATTACTCTTACGGGAGTATTTCATATCTACAAGACGTCGGTAAAAGAGATTGGTCAAGGCCTAATTGCTACACATGTGTCTTTAGCCATTGCTCTTCTCGTCCCACTAAGCCGTCGAGAGCTTTCCCCTATCGATGCAATATTAGGGTCTTTGATCCTCGATGCGCAAGGAAATTCTCTCTCTTTCCAGTTAGTCACGAAGGAAACATTAGCAGCTCGAGGGCAAGTGGTCGTTGCTTTGATAGCCCAGTTGCTTGGCTTGATTGTAGAAGGTATCCTCGTGGGAAACTTCACTGCAAACTTGCGTCTCACTAGCGATTGCGATTGCTTCTCTGCATTTTGGTGGTCATGGTTGAGCAACTGTTCATCGGTATCCCCGAACGATGTCAAACCGTTCTGGATTTATTTCGGATATCGATTCATCAATACTATTTACGGAGGCTACTTCGCCATTACGCGGACTGCAACTTTTGACGAAGCTGAGAAGTGGGATAGAGAAAACCCATGCTACCCATGCGACTCCTGTATCGAATCCAGCGTAGAAATACGACATGCAGACTGCAAATGCCATTTCTGCAAAGAATGTTGCTATTGCAAAGTATGCAACAGGAAGAGGCGCTGTAGTGACCAGAAACGGAATGACTCTAGCAGCGATGAACCACTACAAGGTGTTAGCGACGGCATACCACTACATAATATTAATAATGGTATACCATCACGAAACGTTAGCGATGATAGATCTAATGACAATGACACCAACAATGACGATCTTAATAATGACGAGGCGCTACAGAATAGTAGCAACAGTATATCATCACGAAGGGCAGACGACGATGGACAACTACAAAATGGCAATAACGATGTACCGCCACAACCTGGTAACAATGGCATACTACCGCACAATGGTAGCCGGGATATAAAACAATCTCTCCCCCCATGCAAAATCTGCGAGGACTGCCAAAGATGTCACGAGTGCGGGCATATGGACTTCAATGCCTACCAATCAGTACTTCTGGCCGGCGAACGATTTTCTGAATACGGTGTGACTGTCAGCATAAGCTTCCTAGAAACCAGCGTCCTCGCCTTGCTGAGCATGATATCAGTCGAAGTCACGATGAACATCAATGCGGTACAGAAGACTTCTCCGTTATATTCTGTTGGACAAGTCACGGCTTTGGTTATAGCAGGTGGAACAGCCCTTCGAGTACTGTATGTTTTCCTCTTAATGTTCATTGTTTAAGGGTTGGGGAATATGAAATGCAACATAGCATCGTGGGATAATATACATGGATAACTAAAAAGGTACCCTAGACTGAGAATACTAGACCCAAAAATGAATATCAAGCCCTACCTAACACAACATAGTTGATTTACAAGAAAGAAAAACGGAATATACCTCAGAAAAACAAAGGTCCATTGAGCCACATAGTGTAGCACTGCCTTGCTAGCCATGAGACAACGAGTCAATCTACCCCATTTGGATACGGAGAGTGGAAATTGTAAATATCCTGGACCAGAGCGATTCTACCTATGCCTACCTACCTATATACCAAACCCACATCTTCAACCTCCCTACTCATTCTTCCCCCCCGTCACAGCCTCAACCCCCTTAACAACCAACCACCTAGCCATCATAGTATGAAACCACCTCCCCACCCACCCCTCTAACAGCGTCGCCTTCCCCCCCTCCTTCTCCCTCCACATAACCGTCTCGTTCACAAACCTAATCTCCCCCTCCCCCTCATCCTTCCCACTCCCACCCCCCTTCCCCTTCCCCTCCCTCTCCCTCTCCCTCTCGTTCCTCCTCCCCCTCCCCGTCCGATCAACATCGATATCAAACCCAACCACCAACACCCCCCCCACCACCGGCCCCGTCCACCCCTCCGGCGGCGCCAGATCCAGCACCACCCGGCCCTTGCTGCGGCTGCGGCTCCTCACGACATACACGCCGCACACGCGGTCGCCCGGCCGAAAGCGGCACGCGGCGAGGTAGTCCGCGTCGAAGGAGCGCCGGTACGCCTCCGGATCCGCCACCGCCGCGCCCATGCGCGCCAGCAGCAACGCCTGCGGCGTCCACGAGAAAGCCGCCATCGTAGCGCCGACATACGAGTCCAGGAGGCCGCTCAGATTGCCCTTCTTGGAGATGAACTCGGGGCGCAGGGACGACACGGGCACCGCCGCCGAGGCCACGCGCTCCCGCGCCACCACGTACAGCTCCAGATGGTGGCGCACGTCGGACGGGAGCGCTTCCTTGTTGTCGCTGGTGCCGTCGGCCGAAGAGCCCGAGGACAGGGAGTCCGGCGGGCAGATGAGTGCCGAAGCAGCGGTGTGCCGGACAAGCGAGCGCTGGAGGTAGACCATGTAAGCGACGGGGATGGTGATGGGAGCAAGCGCGATGAGGACTCGGATTGGAGTGCTGGTTGTCCCGCCGAGGCCCCCGAAGGACCCGAAGGGAGATCTGGGGAAACTGGATAATCCCATTCTCGCCATTGTGAAGTCACCTGGCTGTGTTATGTATGTATAACGAATATGTAAGGTAGGTAACTATGAAGACACAGATGTAGACCAAGTATATAGGTACCTAGGTATATAGTCGGGAGAACCAGTTATCAAAATGTCCAAAGAAGGTCTGTCTGATGTTGATATTGCTAGGTTTAGGTAGGAATGAGAAGAAAAAAACCAAGACCCAGTACAAAATGCGGCTGCAATGCGGCTCTGGGGCTGAATCGGTCAAGGTCAATACATACCTATCTTCATGCAGCCAGGAACCCCCGCGCCGAATTTGCTGGCCAAGAATTAAAACACTTACGATAGAAACATCAAGAAACTAAATAACAGGGACTACCTGTGCGCAATATGCTGGTACTAATACCCATCAGGCCTAGTCGAAATATCGAAGTCATTAGTCACAGGTACCGCAAAAGTTAGCTTGAGCACCTATCTCGGCTCCGAGAATTTCGTTTAAATATCCTAATTTATAAACATGGGGGAATAATATTGGGGATAGTTTACTGTATGTAGGTAGGTATGTATGTATAGGGTAGAACGCTCCTCAACGCCATAATGCAATGCGTTCGTTGAAAATCCAAACGCGATCCGAATATCCCAAAAGGTATTTTAGCGCCGTATGCAAAAAGGCAACTATGCCTCGGGACGATCCAACGTGTCTAATGGTACGTATCCATCGTCTTTCCTTGACCTCCTGCCCAACACCGTTCCCGCAAGGTCCTGGACTCTAGTGACGACGCCATCTAAGCCCCAACCGCGGCCGCGCTTCTTAAGCCCACCCTTGTCCGCAAGCAAAGCTTCCTCCATCCATTGCGGTCGCTTCCAGAATTTCAGAAGTAGCGAACTAACTACAACACTGACGCTACTGCAAGCCATGGCGGCACCCGCAGCCATGGGGTGAAGATGCCAACCTATGGGAAGAAACAGACCCATAGCGAAAGGTAGGCCGACGATGTTGTACATACAAGCCCAAGTAAGGTTTAGTTTGATCCGTAAGAAGATAGTACGAGCAAGGTGAAGAGCAGCGGGGATATCCATAAGGTCGTTTGGTCGCATAAGGACAACGTCCGCAGCTTCCATTGCTACATCTGTACCGCTAGACATGGCGATGCCAACATCGGCGGTAGCCAACGCAGGCGAATCGTTGATACCGTCACCAACCATGGCGACACATTCACCCCTGTCTTGAATTTCTCGGATGATATTTTGTTTCTGGTCTGGAGATACGCCAGCATACACGTTGTCGTGCGAGATGCCAACGGACGATGCGACAGCGAGCGCAGTTGATAGTTGGTCACCGGTAACGATAGCCGTCTTGATTCCCATGCTATGTAAAACCGAAATGGCCGCCGCAGCCCCTTCCTTGATCGTGTCCGCTAGGCAGAGATGACCGGCGTATTGACCGTCGATCGCGATAAAGACGTTTGTCGTCCCGGCAGAAGAAGCCTTCGACTTATTTGCCTTCAAATTAATTTCTTCCGAAGCTTCAACTGCGTCTTCTGGTACCTCGACCTTGTTTTCCCGCAAGAAACGAACACTTCCGACAAGCACTTGGTAACGGGTGCGCTCAGCACTAGCGGGTTCGACACGCGCACTGATACCCCGCCCGACGATGGCGTTAAATTCGCCGACGCTGCCGTCAATAGCTGCCTCGGGATCCAAGCCGAGATCGTTCCGCGCCGCTGCTAGGATGGCCTTGCCAACTGGATGCTCGCTTCCCATTTCGGCCAGACCCACAATCGTCCACCAAAGACGTTGTCGCCACTCCTTATCCTGCCAGCCGGATGGCATCTCGATGCTTGCAACACTCATCTTGCCATACGTGAGGGTTCCCGTCTTGTCGAGGACGACTTGAGTAATCTTAGTCGTAGCCTCCAAAGCAGCACCGCCCTTGACCAAAATACCGTTTTCTGCACCCACACCTGTACCAACCATAACCGCGGTAGGAGTAGCTAGACCAAGCGCGCATGGGCAGGCAAATACAATCACGGATATGCAAAGTTTGACGCAGACCATCAGCTTGCCACCGCTTTCGGCTTGTAGGAAAATCTTAGGTGGGTTAGTTAGAACGTGGCTGAGAACCATCCACGTAATAAATGTCAGAAAACCAAGAATTAGGATGGTGGGAACGAAGTAGCCTGCGAGCGTGTCAGCTAACCGCTGGATGGGGGCCCTGGTAGTCTGCGCATCTTGCACGAGCTTGACAATTTGGCTCAGCTGCGTATCCCGGCCTGCTCTGGTAACGCGGAAATCGACTCGGCCATGCCCGTTGACAGTGCCACCTATCACGTTGCTGCCCTTTCGTTTCTGGACTGGGATGGCCTCTCCGGTAACCATACTCTCATCTATGTACGTTTCACCTCGTACGATAGTTCCATCGGCAGGAATCTTATCTCCCGGGCGGATGATCACAATATCGCCAACTGAGATGAGTTCGGTAGGAATAACCTTTGCCTCTTCTGCGTTACCATCGTGGGCTGGGGTCTCCGGCTTTTTCGATTTGGCCATGTCCCAACCCTCTGCCGCCTTCTCAGCAGCAATTGGATCGGCGTATATGGTAGCCATGGATGGAGCTAAGGACATGAGCCGTGAGAGGGCCTTTGAAGTCTGACCCTTTGCGCGGTTCTCTAGGAATCGACCGAGTGTGATAAACGTGATAAGCATAGTACTGGTATCGAAAATAGTGCTTGGTCGGTTGTGCGGCGGAAATAGAAGGGATACGATCATAGTGAAAACGCTGAAGAAAAAGGCAGAAGATGTGCCGAGAACAACAAGTACGTCCATAGTTGGGGACTTGTGCTTGATGGATTTAAAGGCCGAAACGTAAAAACGCTTGCCTATGCCGAATTGAATGGGTATCGTTAAAACCAAGCAGATAACGTCGCCGAGAAAGAGACCGGGAAGTAGTACTAGGCCACCGAAATCCAAGATAGGAATCATCATAGGGAAAATCATGTTAATAAAGAATACTGGGATAGCAAAGGATAGTGAGACCTGGAATGCCCTTCTCCACTCTTGAATCTCTCTTGTCTTCGCTAGAGACTCTAACTGCGCATTGTTATCATCGTTGTCGGCGACCAAAGCATTGAATCCTAGCTTTTCCACTTCTTCTACAAGCGCGCGCAATCCCGTCAGGCTTGGTTGATGGGATACGGTTAGTCTGGACGTGGACATGCTCAGCTTAACCGAGCTAACACCAGGGAGAGCGAGCAGCGTATCCTCGATTGCTTTGGCAGCTGCGGCGTCGGGATCACCGTAGATCTTGAACTGGGCCGTCGAAGGACCTCCCGAGTGATCTGACATATCAGCTAACGTGGATAGAACATTGGCGCCGAAACCCCTGTCTTCGATGATTTCTGCTATCTTTTCCGGTGTCAATTTTACGATATCGTGTGTAATAACGGCGCGCTCTGCCAATAAACTGATGTTGAACCGTAATATACCCTCAACACCAGCAAATCCATTCTCGATGGCAGAGGTGCAAGCACCACATGTCATACCCTCAATCGCAACCGTAGTCGTAGCAAGAGCCGATGCTTCCGAATTGGCCAATCCCGATTTCTTAACCGGTTTTGATTCTTCACTTGAGATTAGAGTCGCGCCGAATCCTCTATCTTCGATGATCTCTATAATTTCATCAGGAGGTAGGAGAGAAGCGTCGTGTTCTATGACGGCTCTTTCCGAAAGCAGTGAAATGCTGAAGTGCTTTACTCCTGTCACATCCGCGAATCCACCTTCGATGGCCGACGTACACGCCCCACATGTCATACCCTCGACAGCGATTGTCGTGACGGTCGTTGGCGGTTCATCTTTGCTGTCCTCGACCTCGAACCTTGGAGTTTGCAATGGAGTCGGCAAATCGGTCGACAGAACCTCCGCTTCGAACCCGCGATCTTCGATTATTTCTTGTACGGTTTCGGCGGGGACTCGTTGTGGATCGTGCATTACTACCGCGCGCTCCATCACCAGACTCACCGACACGCTGCCAACCCCGTCGACGCCTTTGAAGCCCGCTTCAACGGCCGAAGTACAAGCGCCGCAGCTAGAGGAGTGTAAGCTAATAGAACAATTAGACAAAGGGGTTGGGGTTGGGGTTCATACGTCATGCCACCGACTCTCAAAGTGGTGGTTGCCCATCGAGGTGCTGGACTCAGCAAGGAAGATCCAGTTGATCCCCTCGCTGGAACTCTGATATGTTCTGGAGCCATATTTGATGAGTGCGATTGGACTATATTTCGAAAGGAACCGACAAAGGCGAAGACTGTGTCGCTGGTCCGTCTATTATACACTTCGCAAAGTTCCTATACAATGGCCGGCATGATATTACTGCTGCTTGGTGATGCTCGTTGCATAAAGAACCTGTGAGAAAACAAGGTTGGTCGACAAGGCCTCGGCGCCAGGCGGAGGGAAGCAAGTTAAATTAAATTGGGGATACGTAAGTGTAAGTGTGTATTGCAGGTCACAACTGGGCAAATGGCGAAAGAAGAGGAAACGAAGCCGGAATGTCGAACGATGCGATCCTTTTTTGGGGGTTTAAGAGCGTTTGTAAGCTACCGGGGGGGTTAGGGAAACGCAACTTCGTACGTAACGGTACCTAGATGCACTGGGAAAATATGAAGCGCCCTAGAACTAATCGGGTGTTTCATTGCATAGCAAATTGGTGGAGCTAACCGTATTGGGAGATTATTGGTGTTTGACCAGGCGCATATCCAGTACAGTGCGGTGTAAATGACTTGGACGGCGATTCAATACAATTACGAAGTGTGCCACATCGAACTCGTAACCTTCCCGATAACCTTCCCAACTCGGCAATTCCAGCGATCCTCAATAGGAATCTTGGCTACAATATTTTAGATCTGGACACGTTCTCGACCGATTATTGAATGCTTACGTATGTCCATTCTATATACTGAACAATACAAATGTAACTAGACATATTAGAAATCAATAACTAAGTTAAAGTACAAGAGAAAGATAATTCACAGTATAGAAATAAATACCTTTTAAGGCAAATGCCGGTTCCCGGTATGTTCGGACCGGGCGGAATAGCGCCTCTTTTAGGCGTATGACCACTAAATTAGGTACTTCTGAATATTATCCGGCGGTCGTAGGTACGTAGGAGATAGTTTTTAATTAGAAGACCACCATTAGCTCCGCGCAAGAACGGAGGATTTGACACTCCTATTTCCAACGGATTTCTGAATTAATTATAGTCTACTCACGTGCTGACCCATTTCACGCAATATACTAAACACTCAGTATTTGTCATTTTTTTCTGGGCATAAATCTGTCTGTTAATGTAGAGATTTGATTTTGTTATTGAGTCCCCTTTCGAAGGTACATACATACCTATGTATGTAACTGCGAAATATGTACTTAAGTACTGCCTAGTGCGGAGTGATAAGATAAGACAGGCAGCTAAGGGAAATGCCCCGCTATGACAGGGACCTTAGTGCTTGGAAGCTCAAACAGTCATGATACAAGGCCATGATACAAGGCGCTTCCTTAACAACATCAAAACTGCCCTAAATATCAAACAATAGGAAATCCTGTCTTACAATTCTGCTGTTTTTTATTTGACCCAGTACCTTTCTCCTTACCTAGGTTCATAAGATCCAGCCGTTTCGGTTGACTCCCATCATACCCTGTAATTAATTGTAACCATTGAAACAGACAAAAGCAAGGATCTCCACAGTCTGATCTCCAGGTTGTGAATCTATCGTCGTTCCATCCTATAGGGCAAGGCTAGCCGATCCAAAAAGCTTAGCTCTCTAGCCGTGGCCCCTTATCCATCGACCTTGCGAGAATCTGACGTCGTTGCTATCGCCAGCATAACGGCGAGGTTACCTTCATCATGGAGCAGACCAAGGCTTTGAATGCTCTAGAGGTAAGCATTGAAATATCTACCACATAATCTCCTGATATAACCTATCCATGTATACAGTAGCTAACTGGAGTAACAGCCATATCTAGCTCTCACGAAGTCCGCAGCCGCACCCCGAGCAGCAGCTGACCTAGTCACCCAAGCCACATCCAACCCAAACACCTACGTATTCGCCGAGCTTCTCCAAGCGCCTCACATCCAGTCCCTTAGCCAGTCCCCCGAGTACGCATCGTACCTCTCACTCCTCGAGATATTCTCCTTCGGCACATTCTCCAGCTACACACAGCTCGCCGGAAAACTCCCCCAACTCAACGACGCCCAAACCCTCAAACTACGGCAACTCTCCCTCCTAACACTCGCCCGCGACCCCCACAACCTAAGCTACGCGACCCTACAACAAAGCCTCGGGCTTTCCGACTCCCGCGCCGTCGAAGACCTAGTGATCTCCGCGATCTACGCGGGTCTCATCGAAGCACAGCTCGACCCGCGCCACCAGACCGTGCACGTCTCCAGCGTCTCGCCCCTACGGGATCTAGCCCCCAACTCGCTCCCGTCTATGCTCACAGCCCTAGTCACGTGGTCCGATAGATGCACGTCCACGCTCGCCGACCTAGAGGCCCAGGTCGCTCAGATCAAGGACGAGGCCAAGAAGCGCCACGACGAGAAGACCGCCTGGGAGACGCGCGAGACGAAGCTCATCGAGGAGCAGCGTAAAGCGGACTTGGTGTCTCCCCCGCAAGGAGGCGCACACGGTCGCGGACAAGGCCGGTACTTAGATTCTGCGGTGGCGCGACTACGTGGCGGCCAGCGTAACAGCAAGCGTGGAAGTAGTAGCCTGGATGTGGCTCAAGATTCGGATGAGGCCATGGATCTAGACGAGGAGGAGCCCGATGAAGGGGAAATCGTCGGTGCGGGAGCGGGAGCGTCAAGCGCTGGGAAGAAGCAGCGGGCGAGTCGTCGAAGACTTTAGGAGGTTTACAAGAGGGTTAACGATTAACTCTTATATTACGTATTGTTATGAGTTGATGAGTAGTGGTTTACGCATTTTGATGAACGCTAGGTTCTAGCTATGGCTAGGGGAATATCCCCGATAGGCTAGACTTGCAAAAGAGAAGTCTTACGATGTCACAGGCAAAGGAAACCTACAAAGAACATATAGATTATGATAGTGACAGTAACAGACGAACTACCTATGCCTAGGTAAATAAGAGACTAAAATAAAGCAAGCTTACGAACTACGTTTATGACACAGAATGAAACTAGGCACTGGGCATATGGAAATCATATGTAGAATCAATTGCAACCTGCCCAACCATAAGGTTGACGACAGTCTTTGACTGCTTAGCTACTTTGAGTATTGTACATAACCGCTCAGCAAATCGATTAGCGAGGCAAAATGCCCTTGACAAGAGCGTCGAGACTTGTCCGTAGCCTCTGATTAAATAAATCCATTACTGGACAAAAGACGAATAGAAGATATTTCCCCAGCAGCATGCTCAAACGAGCAGTGCCGCCGAACCAAATAAAGGGACTCGAGATATGACGAATCCATACGCCACGCCCCGTGCCCTTCCCCCTTTTTCCTCCCTCATACATTTATGATGGGCACGTCTCTTCCGAAAATGATAAAAACAAAAAAGAAACCTGGAACGAAAGCTTGCTTGCTTGTGCTTGGTGGTATCACACTCCCCTCCCACCCTAACCGTGGCAGAGTATTATTCAAGACTTAGAAGTACCTAAGTCTTCGTAAACCCGAGGCTCGAAACTCCTGGAAACAAAATGGGGTCATGACGTCGTAAAATGCGGTGCACCAAAGGCAAAAAGAGAAACCGAATGCTTTTGCTGAAACAGGCGATGGCATTATGCTGGTTTATAACCTGTGACCGGGCACGAAGATGAATAGCACGCACAGTGCTGCATCAACTAGCGCCGTCACGGCTAGAACCACGAAGGAACGCTGGATCAGTAGCTTGCGAACATACGGCTCTCTAATGCGGGTGAACTGCAACGGCGTCAACTCGCTAAAGCCTGCAAGTGCCATGATAGGATCCAGGGAGTACTGATAGGATGCGAGGAAGTAGACGCCAATGGTGAATGGTAGGATTTCCTATGGTTAAAGTTAGATAAATATTTAAGTTAAGTTCTAAACAGTACGGAATACATACCCAGCATCGATCCAGACGGGAACGGTCGAGAAAAATTAGGTTGAACCCTGTCCAGAAAGCTCCGAACAGAGCAACAAGACCAATAATCAATCTCGCGATAAGAGTAGGAGGGACTAGATTGCCAAAGGCACGAGCACGTAGGAAGCCCGGGAACGCATCTCGCTCCATCGCCTGGAACACATAATCCTTGGCGACGTCGAAAATTTCGGGATCGTCACGGTTTTCTTCCTCGATAGCTTGGGTAATCTCTGCCGCAATGGAACCGTCCAAGGTAATCTCGCGCTCGGCACCAGGGAGCAGGAACGTGTAGAGGATCTTTTCCGCGGACGCTCGAATATCCCGTCGGGCCACGCTGTGCTCAGGTGAATTCGAATCGGTGATCTGATGCGGCGTGCTAGAGCTGAGCTGGGTGCTGGCTCGGGCTCTTCGCTCTTGGCTGCTAGCCGGAGAGTCGTGGATGCCACCAGGCATAGGTTGCTCACGCAGGTAAGTGGAGATATGTGCATCCCGCTCCCTTCCCTGTTCGTCACCAAATCTCGCAGGTCCCGAAAAATCGCCCATTGCTTCCAAAACTCTAGAAGATCGCTTAGACTCTTCCGTCTCCAGGTCAGGTGTGCCCACAAGAACGGACCGCCTAAGCTCCCGAACGTAGTGACGGCAAAGCGACATATGCTGCGCTACATCTAGCCTAAATTTTCTATTAGCAAAATAAACCTTGCTGATTCCAAATTGCACCATACCAGAAATCCAAGTAATCGACGGAACGTTGCTGATCTCGCATGTAGATATAGAAGGAGAACAGATCGACGGGCGGATGTGTGCGACGACATAGTACCTCGAAGAGCGTAGGCAACCGATTTCGTACCGTAGCGTCGGGAGATAGTGACGGCTGATGCGCCTCCTCCAGAGTACCACTGTACGCCATCTTGAAGAATTCTTGCTCGGCAATTGCAAGAATTCGGGATGATTGGCGGGAAGGTCAACGCCAAAATGCGTTTGTATAACGGTTATGAGCCGAGCTCTCCCTTGAAGGGGAGGCTGCAATCGTGTCTATTGTCGTCGCGTAAAGTGCGATCGGAATGATGAGAAGCGTAGGATTGATTGAGGCAATTGTCGGCGTATGAATTCATCAGTTACTTGGAGTTACTTGGAGTTACTTGGTCCGAATGAATTATGTCGCTTCGGGTTGTTGTATACAATCGAAAAGAGTGAAATTGCGCTCGGCGCAGGGTGATGACGACTGTATAGAATTTGTCGAAAGGAGAGAGAGCGACGTGGACCGGACGTGGACCGAACGTGGATGATGGCGTTGGGCGAGAAAGGAAACTGGGCAATCCACTAGGTTAGGTTAGAAAGGCTAGGAAAGGCAGTGTAGGATGATTGTCGGCCGTAGTTGCTGGTTGATTTGGCGCCTGGACCACTGTGATTGCTTGAAATGGGAAGTAGCTCGTAACTGTCAAATTAAAGGGCCAGGGGTTGAGAGAACTCGTGGCACAGTAGGTAACAAGTCAGCCACACTAATTCTTACACAAATGACATTAAACAGGTTCACAAAGGATCATGAATTTTGTGTAGAGGAATAAAACTGAAAGGAATGGATGCATTTACGTAGCAATTGAAGTCTGCATGTTAGGTACATATGTCAGCGTAGCAGCCTTGCAACTTCTAGCTATGATTTGTTGCTATCACGACGGGAACTTGTCACCCCTTAGGTATTACTACCTGTTTTGGCCTAGATTCTTGAGATCAACATTGAATGGATAGGTGCAGGCAGGTAGATTTAGGAACGTAGGTACCTACATAGGTGCGAAGTACATGTACCTCAGGTACCTCTCTCTGTTCAGGTCACCCGGATTTCACAAGCCACACCCCACCAGCCTGCAAATACAGCACTAGCCACATTTAAATCCCACAACCCTAAGTTTGATTGGCTCGGCTAGCGAATTGTTCCTCCTGCCCTCAGTTTCCCACATCAAGGTCTTGAATTTTCAATTTCGCAAAGCTAAACAACATCACGACCGAACTTTTCCGACCAACACCCAGACATCAATCCAGTAAGAACTCCGCGCGCCAACCATTCCCTTCGACCACGTAAATAATTCTAATCACGGTTCCTTATTCAGAAATGTCGTCGAAAGGAAAGAAGCCAGCCACCAAGTCGGCCATCGAGCAGGTCGTGTCCCGCGAGTACACCATCCACCTCCACAAGAGAGTACGTCCATCGCGCGCCAGAACCGAGCGTTATTTAGTACGAAATATTTTTGGAAGGATTAAATGCTGATGGATTGAGTAGCTGCATGGTGTGACTTTCAAGAAGCGGGCTCCTCGGGCCATCAAGGAGATCAAGGAGTTTGCGCAGAAGGCTATGGTACGGCAAACCACCCACATCACTCACCCACCTCCATCCTCCCAATGCACTGCACCGCACACTTCGGCATAATTACGAGATATCATCAACCCAGCTAACTGGCTTTCTAGCAAACCTCCGACGTCCGCCTCGACCCTCAACTGAACAAGAAGGTCTGGGAGCAAGGTGTCAAGGGTGTTCCGTACAGAATCCGTGTCCGAATTAGCCGAAGACGAAACGACGAGGAGGATGCCAAGGAGAAGCTCTACAGCTACGTTCAAGCCGTCAACGTCAAGAACCCCAAGGGCCTGGTGACGGCCGTGGTCGAGGAGTAAGGGAAGGCAAAGGAAAAACATCGTTTCGTTGAGATACCGGCTGGGTTCAAGAAGGGCATGGTTTCGGAGTTACCTTCTGGCTTCATGACATTAAGATAAGATTCACTAGTTGATGAATCAAGAACCGTGAACAATATTTACTTATTTTTGTGACCCTCCCGCTCGCTACTTGGAGATGCTATGATAGCATTTACGAATGGTCTTCTCACATTATACAAGCACATCACGATGCGTCAAGCAAATATCAATTGTTAGCAATTTGTGGAATACTGCCGCATGTCATGTTAAAAGGAAGTGCTATCTCCAGCCTGGAACCGCCTGTAAATGCAATGCATGCGCGAAGCCGAGACAGCCAAGCCTCGGAACACGAACCGTGCAAGCGCTGACGCCATTCTCCATACTGGTTGACCCTCAACCACCCAGGTATATGAAAGCTTGAGGAACGAAGGGTATAATAAAGACCATCTAATCGTCGTCTACATCACGGTGACGACCTAGCACTTTCCTCTTGAATTCCTCCGCGTCCTTATCCCATAATTCCGCTGCCTCGCCGTTTAATGGGGAAGAGCTATAATTAAGTTAGTTTAGACAAGACCGGTGGGTTCAGCGGAAGACAACTTACTTGTTCGGCTCTCCAAGCAGACTTTGCAGACTTAGTAGGACGGTCTGAACGTTGTACGCAGCGGTCCACTTGTCCTTTAGAATGTCTAGGCAAATGCGGCCGGAGAAGTCTACATTCGGGTGGTAGATAGGCGTCTTGAACAACACCGTTGGTGGGGCATAGGGATAATTGGTCGGGAAAGAGAACGATAGCTTGAAGGTAAGACCAGCATACGGGGTATCGTCAGGACCCTCGATCGTTGCGGACCAGGACATCAGGTTTCCATCCGCCGACGGGAAGGCCGAAACACCAGGGGCAGGCGAGGTCATCAACTGCATAAGCTCTGTCTGCAATCTACGGCCTATTAGTACAAGGTATGACCAACGAGTGCAAATCAGAGGCGATCACTACGGCATACCTTTTCGTCACACTCTGTGCATCTGGGCCTTTCCGTGTGCTACCGAGCTTGGCCGCTTGGACGCTGCCAGGTGCAGAATTTTGGCTATCTTCGGCTGCGTAGTCCATTTTGGCTAGCAATTAATCTTGCCCGTTGATAACAAGGTCGGGCGAATTTCGAGGTAGATATTAGAGAATGCGACGAATTGGATAAAGGCCGAGTCAAGCTACTTGGTTCGGTAGTACCCCTAGTCAATGGATTGCGGTAAGAGAGGAAATAGACGAAGCGAGTCGAACTGGAATGTTGTGGCTGTTAGCGATGAAAGGTATGGAGTGCACCACACCCAATTGATAAAAGTTCCAGTAAGAGACAGAAAGAAAATCGAGGTTGAGGAATGCTATTTACGAACCTCTTTGATACTATGTGTCTTAGGAAATGTAACAATAGGAAAATGACGAGATGCAGAATTTAGAATAGAAAAGTAAGTGAGGCAGGATCTACGAAGTAATTGTGAATTTGTAAACAACGTTGGCCGCTTTGTCCCCGCCAGCCGAACTCCTATGGCAACCGCGACGGGTCGATAGAACCCTGTCAAGGTACCTAACATATGTAGCGCTGTAGCCCCGTAGCGCTGTAGGTATCGCCGTGTTGCCTTATCTTACGGGGCCAGTGGCTCTCCTTTTTGCTTTGCTTATTAATAATACCTTAAACCTAAAAAGTCACCATTAAGGCAGCAGTAGCAGCTCTGGCCATGACAACAGGGATTTTAATGGCCTCAGTGGGGTATATTGCCTGCTAAAAGCCCTTTGTAGCCAATGAACGCTGGTTTCCGCGAGACAACCTCAAACAAAAACATCTAAACAGTCTTGACTCAACCTCTAATTAGTAAATTAGTATTTCAACGCGACAAAGACGCGTTTATAAGTTATCATGGTAAGTTTTGAAATTTCCTCCTTCTCAAACGCGAATATCAATTTATTGGTTTATTTTATTTCGTGTTGTTGAACCAGATATCCATAATCCCTATTCCGTATTTGATATTCAATCGCTGCATGTTTATGCATGATTCGCTTAGCGGTTTATACGCTTGGTTTTTTCATACACTTGGTTTTCATCTGAGCAAATCATTTCATCATTTCGCCTAAAAGTTACCAAATAGGAGTTATCTTTACTAAACAAAATGATACAGTCTCAATTAGACCCTCTACCGGATGACCTTCCCTTCCGATTCATATCAAAGACGATAGGAAGAGGAGCATATGCATCGTGAGCTCACTTACACCTTATTCCACCGTCTCCACTCACTCAGATTACTGACTAATGCCTCAGAATCAAAAAGGCCATACCTTTAGATGCCCAATCTCCAGTCTTTGCGGTCAAGTTAATTCACAAAGGCTACGCAGTTAAACATGGCCGCATCTCAGCTAAGCAGATTGCTATGGAAGTGTCCTTACATTCTCACATCGGCCAGCACCCGAATATAATTGAATGGTTTGCGACAGGCGAAGACCATATATGGAGATGGATAGCGATGGAATATGCCGAGGGAGGTGACCTCTTCGACAAGATTGAGGCAGATGTAGGCGTCACGGAAGATATCGCACAGGTCTATTTCCACCAGCTCATCAGTGGCGTGAGCTTCATGCATTCGAAAGGGGTTGCACATCGAGATCTGAAGCCGGAAAACATATTAATGTCAGAGAACGGAAACTTGAAACTGGCAGATTTCGGCATGGCGACAATGTTTGAATACAAGGGCCAAAGAAAGCTCAGCACAACGATGTGCGGCAGTCCGCCGTACGTTGCCCCCGAGGTATTAGCAGGCGGCCGAGTAGATAAAAAGTCTAGTGAAGTAACCAAATACTCGGCCGAACTAGTGGACATTTGGTCGTGTGGTGTCATCCTGTTTGTCCTCCTCGTGGGAAATACGCCGTGGGATGAACCAACCTCGCAGAGCTGGGAGTACCAGGAATACAAGAAGACGAACGGCCGAAGTACGGATAGTCTATGGGAACGAATACCTGTAGAGGCCCACTCGTTGCTCAGGGGTATGATGAGTATCGAACCGAAGAAGCGATTTACGTTTGCCCAGATACGACAACATCCTTGGTACACCCGCCACAACAAATTCTTAGCCGCGGATGGTCAGATCATCGATCCCATAAATCTAGCAACGAAGATGCTAGAGAACCTACATATAGACTTCAGCCAACAGGCTCCCTCATCACAACGCCAGTCGCAATCACAAGATTCTATGGATATAGATGGCGGCTCTTCTCATAAGATATCCTCCACACAACCCGAAACACCAATTAACGATGTTCTATTCGACTGGGAGAGACCGGTTCTCCGTACCTTAACCGCGTCCTCCACACAACCTATCTCCCGAGCAGACGTAACATTACCAACGCAGTCTAGTAACTTCTTCGATGCTCTGGCCGAGGAACCCTCCATGAGCCAGTTCTCGCAGACACGCGGGGTACCGCTCAGCCTAACACAACACGCACAGCGCTTCAAGGATATCGTTCCCGCACATTCGTTTACTCGCTTCTTTTCGCATATGCCGCCGCAGCTACTTGTCCAGATGCTCGGTGATGCATTGCACAACCTCAGCGTACCACTACCGTCGGGGCCGCCATACGTTGGCCAAGGTGATCACGTGTCCACTTATAAAGTTAGGACGGTGGACGATCGCAAGCAGGGGCTTCACGGGGAGATCCTAGTCGACAAGTACTTTTTACCAGAGTCGCAGGAGCTACTCGAAGTGCGATTCGTCAAGCTCAAGGGTGACCCGCTCGAGTGGAGACGTTTCTTCAAGAAAATAGTGCTGCTGTGCAAGGACGGCGTCTACAAACCGGAGGACTAGAGGGACCGGCCGGTTCACCCAAATATTTGATCTGGGGTTATATAATAGGATGGCCACCTTGGATTAACAGGACGGGACGGAAAGGGGGGTGGAATAATATCCGGAGTAGGTCTGCTGTATATTGTTTCGAGCAAAGGGATACGGAAAAATTATATAGCGGTTAATGTTAGGGGGCTCGCTTAATGATAGACTCGGCTTAGGTATAGCTTTTGCTAGGGCTAGGTGCGTTATAATGTTGTTGTATTCTTAGGTACATGCTCTCCTGTATGCTAGGGGGTTGGTTGCGTTGCTTCTTGTGAGATAGTTACGAGCTTAATGGGGGATATTGTCTCCAGAAGCACCAACCAGATGTCACGATATAGAATAGGACCCCCTTTATCATAAAAGAATTTATGATTAATCTAAACACGGAGTGACCTTTCTTATATAGTATGTGCTAACCGACAGATTAATCTTGATTAGTTAGAGGATTTCTCTACTTGTTGACGCTTTGGGGATGACTCTGGACGTTACTCGGAGGTTCAAGCACCAATCGGTAATATGCTATTTTTTTTCTTTCGTTCTCTTCTAGTCTCAAGAAAAAGGTATAATAAGAATAGGAATCGCGCCCTCAAACCGAACCCTTACACATAAGACCAAGTAGCCACATTGGCTATTTACCAAAGTATCATTTCTATGGAGCTACGTTACTTTAATAGGTTATCATCCTTAACTTAGGGTTTACCATGGTGCTTCAATAGGCCTACTGGCCTCTGATATAGTATGAAATAAAGGTGACCTCCCAGTTTATAGACATCACAGAGCGAATACTTCCACGTATTATAGACTCTAGCCTCACTACAGTTAGCCAGCTTGAGGCGAAAGCATACACGTCCATTCACAATCAGACATTAAGAGGCACCCAAAGTAGCTGTAAGAGCTTTTTTAGTCGTATCTAAGGTACGAGAAGATCTAACTACCTAACGCGATGACGAACACACGGCAAAACCGCGCGTATTATCGATTAAGTCTTAACGTAGGTTTCCAGGGCAGGACAGGGCATTCCATCCTGGATTAACTTCTCGACCACCGCAACACCGAAAACGACCGATACCTAGTATCCTCCACCAACAAGGGAGAATACGCAAACGATGAGTTAGACACCTGACCTAGATCCATCCAGGAGGGCAATTAGGATCTCTATTCTGCACGTTCCGGCCATGCTGCTGCTGCTGCTGCTGCTGCTGCCGCTCGTTCCGCTCGTCATCCAAGCGCTCGTAACCGCCATGCTGATAACCGAGCCAGTGATCCCAGGCGCCTCGGATAGCGCCCATGCCCCGCTGAACGAGGGTGCGAGTGGCGTTTCGGCCGCGTTGGAAGGTGTGCCAGCCATGGGGATAGCAGTTGTGCCACTGGGTCGCGTTGGTGTACCGGATTACGCCGGTGTAGGTGCCGTCGTGGAGGAAGGTTACGCGGTCCATCATGAGCGTGGCTTCGTCGGCAGGTTGGGTCACTGGGGGGTTAGTTAGTTAATGCTTCTTGAAAAGGGGTTGTGTGGTGGTAGGGTAAGTGAGTAAGTAGGTAGGTAGGTATGTGTGTAGGTAAGTAAGACATGTAGGTGTTTATTAATATATAGGGGTGAGGATTCCATGATAGCTTGACTGAAAAGGTTTCACTCATAGGGGATAAATCAAAGGTAGGAGGGAAGAGATAGTTTGAATACAACTTACAAGGCAACTCATACTCATCAGCACCAAGAGGGTACTCCATCACTCTTCCGGCAACATCGCCGACGTTGACGGGCCTTTGGAAACCCAAGCGGCGCGGCCAAGCCGCACCAAGCGATCTGTCATTAGTTCGCACATCGAAGCCCATATCGTTAACTCCAGCTTGGATTGCTAGCCAAATCTCACGGCGTGTGTACACGCGAGTGCGGCCGTGAAGAGATGTACAAAACACGTAGGGTGGGATCTGGTTAGCAGGATTCTGTCGGTTGTACTGCGCGATCATGTCTTCCATCATGGACGGATGACCATTGCCTAGCTGTTCGGTGAACGGGTTAGGGTGTCGCCGGGGAGGAACCGGGACGTTGCGAGGATCCTGATAGTTCGAGTCATTAGAGACGGGCGGCTTAGTGGGCACGGGAACGTTGATGGTCGAAGTAGCGGTAGCTGGGAGTTCGAAAAAAGCATTGAATACTCCGAACTCGCCAACCGCAGAGTCCTGGAGGCGCGGTCATGGTTAGTATCTTGTGAGTCTCTAAGGCCGCAGAGACATGTCTGATAAGGATACTCTAAGGGGAAAAATGTATCACTCATCGTATCGTTAATTTAGAAACTTACCTGCTTAAACATGACGACGAGATCGAAAGTGGGAGCGGCCTGGCTTGCCGTGACGGTAGCGACAGTAGTGTCGACTTCAGGCTGGCTCATCGCCATCGATCCGGAGACATGAATAGTGACGAAAGCCACCAAGATGGCAGCAATGTAGTTAAATAGAAGCATCTTGGATACCAAAGTTGGAGGGAAACTATCAGAGTGAGCGTTGCAGATCTGTCTTGGAAGCTTGGGCGGCAGCCAGAAATGCTTGAGATTTCTTTGCACTTTGGAAAGTTGTTGCAAACTGAAAAACTCCAAGAGGGAGAGAGGATGGTGGGAAATAAATAGGTGGCAAATTAGGAAAGCTACCTGACGAATTTTTTCTGTGCTTAGTCGCCCTTCTGCTCAGCAACCCAATGATATGCTGCAATGGTCTGGCACCTGGGGCTCCTTCTGTGTTTACTCTAAGGTATCTATCTCTTAGGGCCCCTATGGACGTATATGCGGCTGTAAAGCGGCTGCAAAGACGTTCCTAAAGAGGCTGAGGCGGATATGCGGAGCTTGAGGAAGATGCGAGTACACTGGACAGTGACAAGTTATTCCTTGAGGCTTTCTAGAAGTCCTCAGGCCTTATGCTATGACATTTGCTTACAACAGGAGGGAAGATTACTTAGCTTAGTCAACAGAGAGGAGACGACGACGAGAACGACGGCGTGGTTGCCTGTCGTCCGTTCTTGGGGGATTTCGTATATGGCAAGGTCGACTTGGTCAGTCTCAACATGACATGGGACTATAGATCCATTGCCGATTCACTTTACGGTAACAATAAAGTGGTATGCGAAGAAATATAGTGGCTGTCTAAGAAAGCTTCTCATTGTCCAGAAGACGCCGTTTGTGATCTTCAGTGCTTGTGGAGATGTATATTTGGCATCTGTTTTCACGGGCAAGGTAGCCCTTAGGAACTAGACGAGTTTGTATGGCTGAGCTTGTATTAACTTTCATCTTGCCATGTGCTTATTTGGGTGAAAATTGTAACAGTATGACGGTTCCTTGAAGAATGCCAGGTCTGTGACTAGATACACTATGGCTGGTTTATGCGGCGTCATGCTGTAAATAAATACGTCGTAGTCCGTAACAAGGCTACGACGAGTATTGGTAGCTAGGTACTTATAGCATAGTGAAGAGAGCCTGCTGAAAGGAAAGGATCCCACCTGTTATAAGATAATTAGGTATAAAATTAGGTATAAATATGAGAATACTAGATACTAGATTTACAGGATTTGCCGATAGCTTTACTAACCAGGCCTGGCAAATATTTTTACAATAAGCGTACTCATCACCAAGAGCCTCATTGTTGGGAATAAAAAGGACTGTCAGCTAGCTCCACAAGGTTAACGATGTTAGCTTTAGTTATGCGTTCTTTTCATAGATTAGGTACACAGGCAGTTAAAATCCACACGACCCTACAACTGAGATACAATGTCATGGTACCACGAGTGCGCTGTAGCGATTCCACTAGTACCTGGTGAAGTCTATGTATCACAGCTATGAATATCTCATAAGAACCGTAGCACTCATTCTACATGGTACATGCTGAAGCTACGTTTACAAGTAGTACCGGTGGTGTGGTAGGTATCTCGAACTAGCCGAGTATAGCTGGTATAATAGGAACTATGGCGTTATAGGAAAGCGTAAGTACCACTTAAACACTTGTACTGGCCACACTGATGAAGTTGAATATGGTTCGTTAAAGAAAAGCCAAGCATGTCCTGCTAGTTTCTTCTGGAAGGCTGGGGACTTCTTTTGAACATAAAGGCAATATTGATCGAAATATAAATATTCAAATGTTGTAGTTGGCACTAGGCCCAGGAAAAGAATGTATAGAGTCTAACGCTCCAGTCGGAGCTCATCCCCATAAGCCTGATTCTATAATATGTTTATAATAGCAGTTCATGCCGGTGGTTAAGATGATGGCAGGTAAATTGGTTAATGTTCGAAGGGCAAGTGAGGAAAATCTACGTAAATGATTATTTCTATAATACTCATTATCCAGTGAAAAATTATGGGGAAGGGCAACTGGGGTGCTGTTGAAGAACGAAGACGGTAACGAGGTCACCTGTGAGGCATTTTGATTCAAATTACATTAGAAAATACATGATATGATGATTTAGCCTGGAGAAGTCAACCGTGTCCTCGACAGTAGACTAATTAAGCCCTTGAAGAATTTTTTGTTTGATTCATATTCCTTGCATATGTTTGAAGTGATGGGTATTAATTTGGCTATTTGGTCAAGGAATAATCATCGTATTTATTAAGTCTAACACTGCGGCCACTGACTCCTTTTCGGGGGAGAAAACGGAATAGGGGTAAGTTGCTGAGTCATCAGGCCCCATATAAAATTATTTATCGATAAATTCGGTAGCTATCCGAGCTTTGAATCTTCCGCCAAACCGATACGTCATGTAAAGCTTCAATTATTTCTATCCTTTTCACTCCTCCTCTCGTTTTCGTCCTTGTCTAATATCTAAAGGTCCACTGCACTAGCGCTTCATCTATCATACTTGCGCGTCCTATTCGTTTTCACTTATTTTTGTTTTGACACTTGAGAAGCTATAGCAACATTGCTCTGACCTCAAACTCAATTCGATAACCAAATATACTATGTAATATTGCATCAAACAGCCACACCCCTGAATAAGACCGTCTTGCCGAACATCCTACACCGATACGACAATAGCGTTGAATGCCCAATTGTGGATAACTTCTTTAAGTAGAACTTGCCAAGAGCAGCTATTCCGACAAGGATTCGGTTTGTACACATCTTACTGGAAATACATACATACATACATACAGCGATTCGCTGAACCAATATGGCGGCAAAAGGTGATTCTGCTCGTGGAGCTTCCGGTCGCTCGCCCATGCGCTTCATCTCCGTCGATAACGTCTTACAATATGCTTCCGAAATACCATCCGGCCAACCGCGTATCCCTCCGCAACGAGGCCTCCGTGCCATTCCCGGTGTACGACGCGTGAGTGGAGGTGGCCTTCCTAATCTCGCGTCGCGCACCGGGCAGCACAATATGCCATCACGGACCACTAGGATTAGTGAGAAGCTAGTTCTGTTACCCGAGACGGTTAACGATTTAGAAGGACCCGACGAAGAAATCGAGTCTGCTTTTCGCGAGAACGAGTCGAGACCACTGAAGGACGAAGAGCTGGACGTTTTGAGGAAAAGGGGTGGGCTGCGTGGTAAGAGTTATGCCGAACGACTACCTAAATTTGAAAGAACGGAGAAGCTGTCGAGGCTCACGGCCTACTGTACTGCGCAGTCTTTCAAGATGAAGTCGACTTCGGAATTTCTTCGCAAGAAGCACGACGCTAAAACGAAGCTCTACGACGACTGTCTCTATACTGTATATCATATCCCGCTACTACCCGGCGTGGAAGGTTGCCGCGTGAGGAGTCGGCCGATACTCAAGACGCCCGGCACGGGTAAGACGGTCTTAGATCTCGAAATCGAACGGAGCGAACGAAGAGACGAGCATATGGGCTACTACGACGAATATTCATATAACGAACATGGCGGAAGTCCCAACCAGGGGAATGGTAGCTACCAATCTGTGTCTGAGGATAGGGATCGGGATACAGAAAGTAGCAATTCTCAAGATGATCAGTCCGCGAGTCCTGTTAATAGACTTGCACCTGATGCTAAGCAATTTGCTGAGATGTTTGTTTTCTCATATGGCGTTGTTGTATTTTGGAACTTCACCGAAGCACAGGAAAAGGCCATTCTAGCCGATATCACATTTGCAGAGACTGAGAGCGGGACGCCGTTAGTCGCGCGACCCCTTGACCAGAGCGATGTCGAGACGGAGGAGTTTCATTTCGAGTACAACGCAGATGTAAAGAGGCCGCGTATCTTCAATGATATGATTACGTTACTGCCGCGGTCGGATCATATGGTCAAACTCACCATCAGCCACGCTATTGCACAGAGCACCAAACTCTGCTTCTTTGAAGAGCGCATGTCTGAAACCATGTTAAACGCACAGGATGTTCCGAAGCGGCTAGCTCTTACCGGAGAGTTGAACATGACGAGGACTGAGATAGTGAAGATTCTTGGCCGCCTGTTTAAGAGCCGAGTCGACATCAACCTCTGTAAGTGACATCAATCCTCGAGAGAACATTTAATCGGAACTAACGAGTCATGCCAGCATCCAACATTCTTGACGTTCCTAATTTCTTCTGGGACTCCGAACCTACTTTACACCCACTTTATGTTGCTATTCGTGAATATTTAGAGATTGATCTCCGTACGAAGGTACTCAATGAACGATGTCGCGTCTTCCTCGACCTTGCCGAGATACTATCAGACTCTGTCGCCGACGCAAAGATGAGTGCCATCACATGGATTGTCATTATTCTCATTATCGTCAGTATCTTCGTCACCGTGACTGAAGTTGGTCTGCGCTTCGGGATGCTCTCTAAAGACCGAAGTGGAAATAACGGCGTGTCAAATCCCCAAAACGTCCTTAGCGAAGGGTGGATTGCCGTCAGATCTAATGCCACACTCGAGCAACTAAGGCAATGGGGCGTGAATTTGAACGAAGAAGAGAAGGCCGCCATATGCGGTGTGGACTACATCGGGACTACGTTTGCGGGCATCTAATTTTCTTACCCGTGGTTTTCTCCTACAGCACATGGATTTCGGGGTGGTGGAAAATAGGCGCAGGGGAGTAATACTTTTGATACCCATACACAGGGCCTTTGGCGCGTTTGTCTCCTAGTATTCGAAGTATGTTTACATCGCCTTTTGATGTAAATTAACAGTATTTTAATAGCCGAGATCCGAAGCCCTCACTAATTCCCTGTTTTATCAGATGCTTCGAATATATTCTGAATCGTCTATAAGTCGTGAGATATTTACGGCACATGTTACTACTAATTCGATATGTAGCCGTTCCCTTCACGGTATGTTGAGTACGTCGTCGACGTTGACTACCTGCCCCGTAGCAATGGACCGATTCGCGGCGATACCGGTCAGAATGGATAACGCGCCGTCGACATGGCTCGCAGCTCGCATATACTCGTCGGTCGTGGGCTCGCCGAAGAGGTCATTAAGAAGTACAGTATCACCACCACCATGGGCACCGACACCGTCCGAGATCTCAATCTCTTCCGGCTTCTCAAATAACTTGCGCAGCGTGATCGTCCGCTTTTCCAACGACCCTTCCGCCGCTTGATCGCCTCCCGAGTTCACATAACTATTCTCTACAATCTCCATCTCCAAACGTCCGCCGGTCCCGTTAAAACTCACCCGGAACCCCTCCCACGGCGCATACGCCGTCAGCGAATACGTCAGCACAGCGCCGTTGCGGTACCGCACGAGCAAGTTCATCGTATCCTCGATACTAATCCCGTCCCCGAACACGCTCTGGTCTCGGTGGTACGCGTCCTCGTGCTCCGCGTCGAGATACATGGCCTTGAGCTGCGCGTGGTCTTGCAGGTGCAGCGCAAACGGGTCGCGCCTGGAGTTTTCGCTGCCGTGCGCGCGCGCGTAGAAGGCAGACGGCGCGGCGCCGCGGAGCTCGGCGTTCTCGCGGCCGTAGAACTTGAGGTCGCCTTGGGCGTAGACGGTCTGCGGCCGCGTGCGCAGCCAGAAGTTGACCAGGTCGAAGTGGTGCGTGCTCTTGTGCACGAGCAGCCCGCCGCTGTTGCGCTTGTCCCGGTGCCATCGCCGGAAGTAGTCGGCGCCGTGCGACGTGTTCAGCATCCACTCGAAGTGCACGCTGGTGACGGTGCCGATGGCGCCCGCGCGCAGCAGCTCGTAGACTTTGGTGTTGTGCGGCGCGTAGCGGTAGTTGAAGGTGACGCGGACGCGGCGGCCCGGGTTCCGCTCGACGGCGTCGATGATGGCGCGGCAGCGCGGGGCGTCGATGGTCATGGGCTTCTCGGTGACGACGTTGCAGCCGAGGTCGAGGGCTTTGGCGATGTAGATGTTGTGCGTGCGGTCGATGGTCGTGACGATGACCTCGTCGGGCTGGGTGTCGCGGATCATGCGCTCGAAGTCGGCGGCGGGGAACGTGGGAACCGCGCCGTGGCCGAAGGCTTCGAGCTTCGCGTTGGCGAAGTTCATGCGCGTCTGGTTCGTGTCGCATATGCCGACGATGCACGACGTCTTGGCGTAGTCCTTTGCGATGGCTGTGTAGAAGAATATCGCGCGGCCGCCGGTGCCTACGATGGCGTACTTTTTCCGCGAGGGGCGGAGGGGGGCGGTTACGTCGACCATTGCGGTGGTGTGTTCACCCTGATCTCTTGAGCTGTATGTATGTATGAAGTATGAGAGTTGTTTTCGAGACTAATATGTAAGTCTTGAGCGACGACCTTGATTATGAACGCTTTACTGTTCGGGATAATAGTCTTAGAAATAGCTATTTGTAGCAACCTCTCTGTTATTCGCCGGCCGCGTGAAGAACTTGATATTTCACAAGAGGGGATAATCTATCACCACTTCACTCGAGCCGTTATCGCCGTCGGGAAAATACCCTGCGAAGTACACAGCTGACGGGTTGGAGAAGGTTGGGGTAATGTTTCCACTGCTCCCCTAGAAGCCAAGAGTTTATAGGTCGCTATAGTCTTCTTAGTTGAAACTTGGCAGTCGGCCGGTGCAGCTAAAGAAGGGATGTCATATAGCGAGCGAGGTCTTCTCTCACATGGCCACTCGAACATGAAAGCAGCGTTGCCAGACTATTTCCAGCCATAGCGCCGTAAGCCTACATTACATGTCTCTAGGTTAGCTAGAAAGATATCTGCCGAGGATGATATATAGGGTTTAAGCCAGCAGCAGCGGGGAATAATCCGTTAGCTGGATTTCTCATTTAGCCGTATCTGGGGTTTGTCTCCGCCTCCACTGGCATCGCGGATGCGGGGATCCTGGGGTCGAACTAACATGCTATAGGAAACGAGTTGTCCCTGTCCAATGACGCGTTGTTAGTCTCCATTCTCGGTTATGCGCCGCGGAATGCTTCCAAGCTAGTTAACTGCTGTCTTGGTTTAAGTTGAGAGACGATACCACAGTCGGTTCCGGGTAAACGTGTCAACGCTCGTAGCGCACAGGTAGATAGGGGTTGGCTTTGACGATACCTTGACCTTGACCGTAGTTAGTGATTAACGCGTGGAATCTTATATTCCCACCAATGGGGGCATATGCCGACACTTATCACATACGCTGTTAAACGTCGTGTTCTTCAACTAAATGAGGATGTCGTAATACTGATTATGGTGTAACGGCCAGTATGGCTTTTGTATGGGTATAAATGAGGCGAGATTACTCTTATATCTGGACATATGATAGATATTAACTTGTCCTGATGTGCGGATTAGAATTCAATGTGTAGTTACCGTCTGAAAGAATGACATGTTATTGACGTGTGTTGGCATGTGTAGGTAGGTAGGTATCCCGGAAACACTTACACGCCCAGCCTGCCGATGTTCCTCTAACAAGGATCTCCGCACCCCCAACCTGCTGTTGTCTTCCCAGGTATATGGAACCACCCTTCATATAAGGAGTTATATATGACTATCACCCTTGTCTGGGAAGTAGTTATCAGCCTTAAAACCAGCTATACCCCATCTTCGATGAAATTATCTTTGTATTCTCTTGTGTAGATGTTGGCCCGTCGTGTGCTCTGGTAATTAGGTAGACATAGACGACATGGGAGACAATACGCCGAATCAAGTGTCAGCGGCGACGGATGCTGCCGACGTCATAGCGCCCGTCCAAGAAACCACTGGGCATGTTCACGCCGTCAGCTCGCGAGCAGATAAGGCCGCCCAGTTTATCGTCGAGCATGGCGAGATCACCTTCACGTATGAAGAGGAGCGCGAGGTCCTCCGGCGTATCGACCTACGGATTCTCCCTCTCATCCTCGGCGCCTACTTCTTCCAGCAACTAGACAAGTCGTCCCTTTCATACGTGTCCATCTTCGGCATTATGGAAGATGCCCATCTCAAGTCGATAGAGTACTCGTGGCTTGGATCTGTCCTGTATCTCGCGCAGCTCATCTTCCAGCCTCTTGCTGCTTTTCTGCTGGTGAAGCTTCCTACCGGAAAAGTGATTGGGACGGCAGTTATCTGTTGGGTATGTGGCATAGTTGTATATTTACTAATTATATTTACTAATTATATTTACTAATTATATATACTAATTATATATACTAATGTCTGTTCTATAGGGTGCCTGTGCAGCAATCATGGCGGCGTGCACTAATTTCAGCTCGCTCCTGGCCATGCGTTTCCTCCTCGGCTCGTTCGAAGCTATGATCGCCCCTTCGTGCTTAGCCGTCACACAGATGTGGTGGAGGCGATCTGAGCAGACGCTCCGTGCTTCGTACTGGAATGCTATGAATGGCGTAACGTACATCGTTGGTAGCTTGGTAACGTATGGCCTCGGCCATGTCGCCAGTACGAAGATATATCGATACCAGACCATATTCATCTTTTGCGGTGTTCTTACTGTCCTTTTTGGGATCGTCTTCCTCATATTCATGCCCGACTCGCCCATGGAGGCTAAGTATCTGAGCGAGCGCGAGCGTAGCGTCGCCGTCGAACGTTTACGCGCTAACCAGATGGGTGTCGCGAGTCGACAATGGAAATGGGATCATGTTATTGAAACGTTTACGGATTTTAAGACTTTGCTATGGTTTATCCTCATTGTCGCTATATCAATTGCAAGCGGAGGTATTAGCACATTTGGGAATCTTATCCTCAAGGACTTTGGCTTTAGCAGCTTCAACGCAATTCTCTTCAGTATGCCAACGGGAGCAATTCAGATTGCCATTATTATCGGATCGGCCTGGATCGCTACCAGGATAGGACGTAAGGGAATTGTTATCACGGGCCTTAGCTGTCTCCCAATAATCGGAACGATCCTCATGTTGACAGTGCCCCGAAACGAGACGAACAAAGGAGTTCTATTGCTAGGCTACTATCTAGTGCAGTGCTTAGGAGCGATTACTCCTATGGTCTATGCGTGGTCTGCACAGAATACAGGAGGTGATACTAAGAAAAAGACCAGTTCGGCAATGATGTTTATGGGAATGTGTACAGGTTAGTTAAACGCACAAAGCTCACGGCTTTCAGCTCTTTCACCTTCGACTCACCTCTTTGTTATCGGGGATACCTTGTCGCATTGTCTAACTCTCAATTAGGAAATGTCATTGGCCCCCTTTTATATAACACAAAGGATGCTCCATTATACCGCCCTGGTCTTATCGCCAATCTGGTCATGTTTGTCACCGTTGGTATTCTTGGATTGTACGTCACTATGATCCCACGTCCTCATACCCTGCTCTACTGTCTTGCTAACTAACGAGGTAGACTTATTCCGATGTACCTCATGTTCTTGAATAGATGGCATTCTAAGAAACGAGAAGAGCTCGGAAAGCAAGGCAATATTATCGACGAGTCCATGGTGAGGAGAAAGGATATGCAAGGCAGTAAAGTCGTCGAGCTTGAGCAGAGCGAGCAGGCAACCAGGAACATTGAGGATGACAACGGCTTAAACGATCTGCCAGATCTAAAGAATGAGGATTTCATCTATGTATATTGACCTAGATCTGCAAATCTTCGTTAGATGCCTAGAATCTTCATGCATCCTCGCATGTATGGAAGGAAGACAACATTGCAACTTTGTCAATTAACAGCTTGTTATTTTGATTTGAAAGTATAATAAGATTGACGGCAATCTATCTCATTGTGGTCTCCATGCAATGATAATCCATTAAAAACAAGCCCTTTAATATATCGTAAGATATTTTTATACTAATATTTGTCCTCGTTGCTATTGTTGAGCAATGATTTCCAAAAAAAAGAAAATATAAGCACAATAGGCTGCTTTGTAAGGGAATTTAATTGTATCTAGTCCATGGTTTGTTTACTTGTGGCCGACTCGCTGCAGCTACAAAGATGCAGCATTTGGATAAAAGTAAACCTATGCCCATGCCTTGTATAATTTTAAGGAACAATTCATCGCATTTCCTCACTCACATTCTTTAAGTACAATCTTTAAGTATACGAATACCATATCAGACTACGTGGCAGGCACCACATCTCCCTGAGGATTTTCGATCTCAGCTCAATACTAATAAAACTCACCTTAGCTATAACTAAGAACTATCCAACATTTGGACACACATCTAGAAGATAGGTGCGATAAAAAGAAAAAAAGAAGAAAGGATAAATTAGCAAAAATGTGTTACGTCTACATAGTACGTAGATATATCTGCAACCACCAGGAGATATCTCCAGACGCGCAGCAATGCGGGTTTTGTCTATTAGGCCCGGGAATATGCGATTCGACAGAGCTAGGGCGTTACCGCATTTGCCAGGTCACACTAAACCAGTACTGCCGGCGGTGCGAGGGCGTCGCTAGCAGCATGGTTAATCACGCAGGGCAATGGAAGTCCGGCGCTCGGGGGCCTCAGGCCTCGATGAAAGAGAGACAAAAGCAGAGTGGAACATTGAAAAAGCTGAAGGAGAACTCGAACACGCCGGCCCATGGACCCAACAATAGGCGCGTGGGCCATCTCAACGTCATGATGCAGCGGAACCTGAAGGCAGCTCTCCAGCGCGGCGACATCTACGTGCCTCAGACATTCGCTGATATCCTGAGGTACATCGAGTCTCTTCCGCGGTGGCTTAACCGCAAAGGGCTGGTTGCCTTGATGGAGCCGTGGTTCGCGCAGATGTTTGACGAGGAGCAGCAAAATAGCCTGCGTCCTACGCTTAAAGCCGTGAATTGCGAGGGCATGCTTGATAATGTCATGATTTGGACACAGGGTTGATTTACCAACGGGGGTATCGAGGCACATGCGAGGTAGTTATGCTCATGAATTATATTATTAATATGAAAGCAGACTGGTCTAGGTAAACGTTTAATAGCAATGATCGGGTTAGCATAGGAGTTGAGTAGTCTGTCAAAATGCTTTCTATAATAAAGATACACTTAAATATAATATCAGGACCCGGACGTGTAAAAGGAGAGTTGATTGAAGTTGAATGTCAAAACTGTACATAGTGCGTTGAGAGGTTACTTCGTCTTGTTAGTTGGACATCTATAAGATATACTGTAATAGTAGAAACACTATCACGAACCTACTCTTTAGTGGTGTAATGGTATGTTCGACAATACTCCCAAGAGTCGCTACGCACACGGGAAAGGCTACAGGCCTCTGAGAAGCCACTTCACCTGGTGTCTGGTATATAACCACAGGTATACTATTTGACTGGACAAGGCAAGTATTCAACGGTATGAATCGCGGAATAATTAATAGAATATAAATAGACAAGCTCACTATCGACTATAGAATACCTGGAAGTGTCATCCTGCAAGTACCGATGACAAGATATTGAAAAGGTAATAAAATATAGAGTCGTCGTTCTCATGCCCGCTTTGTAAACTGACAACAACTTCAATTGATTGATCTCCGAATGCATCATCTTCAATAAAAACAAAGCATCCCTCTTAATTACCAATATACCTATGTACCTATCCTCTCGTACTAAATGTCCGCTTGCAGACAAGAGAATCGACCTTGACAAAACAAAGAGCGCAGAAAACATAAGTGGCATTCATAACAAATACGTTGGCGAAATGATATATTGACACTCACTCAGGTATACACACCCGATATTCTCCAAGTTACAAGTAATATCTCATTTTCCAGTTCGAACGAAACGCATTCCCCCCTTCTTTTTACGACAATTAAATGAAATGGCGGAAAATACTACTACTACTAATAGAAGGAACCCTCCCAGGCAAGTCAGAGACCAACCACCCCAAGAAAGAAAGCTCCGGGGCAATCCGAACAGCCCAAGCGTGCGATTAGCTAGGACCAGTGTAATTGATGTATATCCACCAAGGCCGGGGAAGATTACTTACAAGGAATCACGATGGAATAAAAACATAACCGTAGGCGCTTTACGTCACGGATGGGAACAAAATCCAGCAGTATTAAAAGGCATGGAGACGCTCAACTTACTCCGTAAGCAACTCCTAACAATCCCTTTTTTACTAGTCCATTACGTACCTCTTACCCTTACAATGCGAACTTTCGTTGCTAACGAAGACTATCAGAGTCTGAACGTACAATGCCGGTAGGACCAGACTGTTTAGATGTTTGCCTAAAGGAGTTTAGTGAATACCTATCACCATCTATTATGGAGGATATCACCATAATGCCAGCAACCAAGGATATTTTCGCTCTTGATGATGAAGCGTTCATCAAGTGGAGTGAAGAAGAATTGGAGAAGCCAGAGGTCAAAAACCGTTTCATTGATCTTCGTCGAAAGCCGTACACTTTCTGGCCGATAGACGCCAGTAAAGACAAAGATACTGCTCGCTGGATGGTAGCCGTTATCTACTCAACGCCGAGTTGGGATCAAGATGACCCTCTCCATCCCCAAAAAAACGAAACACCCTACGACCGGATCAAAGAGATGGCCATCGTAGACCCTGCGTGGAACATTGACGATGGAGAAACAGCCGATAGAGTTGTATTTAACAGGATCATCAATATCGCGGAAGAATTAGGCATAGAAGTGGCGCAATGGATTGAAACTCCAGTGCAGATATGGATCCCTCCACAGAATCTAACAGGTGCGAGTGTTGACGACGCCGGTTATGACAGCTTTAGTTCCGGTTTACGGGCCTTCAGTAATATCAGAGAAATAATCGATCGCATGACGTGGGCTTATAGCAAGAGGCCTAAGAGATATGAGTATGATGCTGTATGGGGTGATCTGACGGGCTTTTTTAATCCCGATCGCGTGCGTACGGAGATGATCGGCTTAGCATCATCGGCCGTGAACAGAGCCATGGAATACATCACACGGGTGGCCATAGAGCCGGTCGCAATCTTATACTTTGGGTTAGAGGAAAAACAGATTAATCCTCAAAGACTGTGGCCTTTGTCCACAACTGAACTTAAAGAATGGAACTCAAGTGAACCCGGATATGATGACTATGGGAATCACCGTTTTTGGACTGAAGAAGAACTGAACCAACGTCTTGCACAGGCAGGTCGTGTAGAGGGCATACCTGGGAATGCTAGTCAAGTAGAAGACTCAGATGCAGGACACAACGGCGAGGAGGAAACTGATGAGGACGAACTCTCAGAGGAACCCTCGGAGGAGCCGGATGATGACTCGGAGGTGCCGGAGGGTGATTCGGGGGAACCAGAGGGTGATTCGGGAGAACCAGAGGGCGACTCAGGGGAGCCAGGGGAGCCAGAGGAGCCAGAAGAGTCAGGGGAACTAGAGGATCTAGGAGAGCCAGGGGAAGAAGGTGGGGAGGAAGAAGAGGTGGAAGAGGAAGAAGAGGTGGAAGGGGAGGAGGAGGAGGAGGAGGTGGAGGTGGAAGAGGAGGTGGAAGAGGAGGAGGATACTCGGCAAGTGCGTCCGCGGCCTCGCGCTACTCCTGTCACTCCGACTCCTCGCGGGCACGGACAAAAGCTGGACGACATAGCAGAAGAGAAAAGTTCAGAGGCAAACTCGGACGAATCATTGCCCCCCATTGATGCATTTTTCTTTTCTCCACAACGGCGCGAAGAGATGAGAAATAGGAACACTCCCGGTAACAAAACCAAAAACCCCCCTGTTTCTGCCGTTAAAACGCCCGGCGATGTGAGCAACTTTGATGATAGTTCCATTGAAGTTGGCTCGGACTCTAGAGTCAAAAGGAATACAGGTAGGGGAGGAGGCAGGGGCGGAGGAGGCAGAGGAGGAGGAGGTAGAGGAGGGGGTAGAGGAGGTGGAGGTAGAGGAGGTGGAGGTAGAAACAGCGGAGGAGGAGGAAGTGGCAGGAAGGAAGACCCAATAGAAATTGTTGAAGTGATAGATGAGAAGACGTCAAGGTTTGGCCGCAACACCGTCGTAACCCCAACTCCTCGGCCCGTAACAATAAATGACGGATCTTCAGGGGAAGAGTCGGACCCCGGCTCAGCTCGTAAGAGGAGGATTACGGATTCGCTCCAAGAGACACCCGTGAAGAGGTCCAAGATATGATCAGTCCTTGGGTTTGAATTAAGATGGCGATGCCGGAATTGTCATTGTCTGGTGGATTATCAAGTTAAGATGGGATGAATTTAGGATGTAATTTTAGTATGAGGCAATCTGGTATATTAGGTACATAGGTAGATTTTTAGATGTCTTCTGTGGTTTCTGTTAGTTTACATTATTTTCAATTGAGGGAGTTTTTATCTACATATTGCCTGGATGTAGATGTTATGTTGGGCAGTCATGCAGCTTTGAAGCTTGGTTCCTGTTTAGATGCACAACAGTTAACTTAAAATACATACCTAGGTACCTAAGGTATATATGTAACTGCTATGTGTGCCTGCCTTAGGTACATAAATAATAATGCCTCCCTTGCCATTCCGTTGAGAAAGTGCTCTTAACTTTAACTGTGTGTATTCGTTCAGCGACGTGGTATGTGCTTGCCTCTTTTAAGAAAATACCCCTATTGTCGACGACATGATTGGGTATACAGTTGAACAAATTAAAACGGATACCTGCTTAATTGGTCAGGGAGGTAGTTGCCTTGGGGCATTTTAGTAGGAGAAATGTTAGAGTAACTTGCTCAAATGAAGACTTGGAAGTTACACTGAGCATGTTTTTTTTTTTTTTTTGATATGCACCTCCCTAAGCTGGTCCCTAGGCCTCCACTGGAGAAATATATAAACATCTTAATTCTCCCATCTTCCAGCTTGATCTCTTCTCTTCTATAGCCATATTACTTTCTATTGACGTGAAATTTCCCTTGAACCATTCATTTACGCCGCTCATTAACCAAATCCTATCAACGATTCACACCCACAAATATTCTGCCTATAAGTTCGATCATGAAAGTCGTCGTCTCTCTCTTGATAGGCGCCTTGAGTGCCGTTAGTGCTGCTGTTGCCAACGTGAAGGCCGTGGCCACGGTAATAAGTCCACCTGCGCTTAATATAGCGATGATTCATGCTGACAGTTATATATAGGATGCCGTTGGTAGCCTTAATGTTACCTCCATTCTTCCCGAGGGATACACTGCTATTCCTTTTTCTATGGACGTTTCTCTTGAGCCCGGCGGTGAGGTGATGACTTTCAATGGTACAGTCACGGTATGTTACGACCATGCTGATGCCTTGGTACGAACTTTGGGTTTAACATAATACAGGAGATCCTCGCTCAGGTCCAGAGCATCAAGCCTGACTTCACCTGGGACAACTACGCATCTGCCACACCTTCGACTGGAGTTTCTAAGTACAAGCGAACCAAGGTAAGCATCTACAAGATATTCAGAAAGCCTTTGATATTGACATATGTCAATAGTCTAAGATCCTTTGCAACATCCCCAACCACGACCACGGACTACGATATGTTCTTTTGTCAGGTTATGACTTTTTGAAGAATATTCACACCGATTGCAAGATCGATGCAGGACCCAAGAAGTGCGCTATGCTCTATTGTATGATGGGCACATCGATTTGGATGTGCAATGACAACAGTACTCCCATCAGCCGAGACTGCGCCTACATCGCCACCTATGTCTTAGATATCATTGGCACCGAAAACTGTCAGTCTCGGGGCAGTATGGGACCTACGACTTGGACTCAAGGACAGGAGTTCGATACAGAGAACTTTAACGTTATTGCTGGCGGCGGTGGCTGCTCGTAATAGTCATGACAGTTGGGCTGTGATTACCGAAGCAGGTAGCCAACAACTTTGCCTTTACGATATTACCGCACTGAACTAATGTTTTTGGTCTTCGTTGCTGATGCTTTGAGTTGAGATGGTAGTTGAACGACAAGGGGTTAAGTTACTGCGAGAGAATCTAAAAGGATCTCTCTTATGTACACTTTTAGCTTTAGCTACTTTCGCCGGTTGATTTCTACTTGAGCCTATGTCCGCAAAATAGAGACTTATTGAGTAACATGAATCTCCCTAGCTGGCCATGCTACATCGTGAAATAGATGCAGTAGAAAATGGAATTGCATAGATTCCTATTTTAAGACGTCTAGAGTTTCATTAAGATCATCTCGTCATGTTTATGGATATAGTATGGATCTGGTTAGAGGTATAGAATATCCGTCAAAAGACAGGACAAAGAGGTCACAATACAACTTACGATGGGAAAATACCACGTTTATTGTGCAAAGAGCTCTCGGTGCGAAAACATCAACCTCGCTAGCCGAAGACATAGACATACATACATGTGGCTCCTTGTTTAAAACTCTTAGGATTCGGTAATATTGGAGAGATCCTATAGGGTGATAGTCCTTTTCATTTGGAATCGTGCACTAATTACGCAGCGCTTAGTAGGCTTGTTATCTACCTAAGCGTGTCTTGCTATCATTACTTCTCCCTAAAATAGGTACACTCATATATCATCAAATGGAAGTCTGCTAAGGCCTACGAGCGTCACTTGGAAATATGACTGTATAGCACCAATACTACGTGCTGCGACGCGGGTATAACTTTAGGTAGGTCAGGTAGGTAGTCATCAGCAAGCCGAGTGGCGTGACTGGACGAGCATGCGTGCGCAGGTGACACAGTGGCAAAGAGCGCGGCAGCAACTGGAAACAATACCTCATCTAAAATGGACATTAGGGGAATAAGTTTCTCTACACCAGCACCGTACGAGGAGAGATATTTCTCCGGTCCTCAAGACACCGGGGATAACCCCCGAGGAGACAGGACCCTGGCCATGTGGAATGCGCGGGTTCGCCTGTGCGACGACGTGCAAGCAAGTAGCCTGCGCGGATGGGTGGCTGCTGGCGATGCGGCTCGGTGCGCCCCCAGCCGGTGCGACGCTGGGCAGGTTAGGAGGTAGGACGTAGGTAGGTAGGTAATGATTAATCAGCGACGGCTGGATAGGCGCGACGTATAGAAGTAAGTTACCCAACCTAGGCCGTGACGTTCCAGAATTCTTCTATGTCTATCGTCCGGCTTCGCCTTGACAGGGGACCGAGCTTGTCTGGCCGGATGTCGGGCCGCTGGATACAGACAGTTTGAGATGTAACCGGCGTACCGACTCCAGTTCATATACGCGCGTAAAAAGTTACGCCCTGGATATATGGGGAATGCTGTATAGGAAATCAGCGTATACACAAGATTACTGTAGGTGCAAGTGTTGGGTTGCACTTTGGCTGTGTTTAGGAATTCCGTCGTGTTTTATGTTGTGTTCGTGTTTTCGTCAGCAGAGCCTCAGATTACATAATATTGGTAAGCTGTGTTAGTTACATATGTGCAATATTAGCATATTAGTAGTATTCTATTCACGTGACTAATGGCATGGTGTGACACCGTGCTAGAAATAGGCTGCAACAAGATACGCACCGTACATGCCTAAACTTCAAGCTCCAATTAGGTACCTTAGGTACCTAACTTTTGATACTCATCGCCTAGGCCCGGCGTTTAAGTCATCATCTCTCTTCTTTACTTCACATTCAATTTTTATAGTCTGTTTTTAGAAACTGCTTCATTTAAACCATCTAATCTTGGAAAATATCCAACATGGCGCGGACCTCAATTCGGTGGCATCCGTTGCCGACATTTCCAAATCTGCCTGCTCTCATGATCTCTCTGCAGTCTGCTTCTTCATCGTACACACTTCATGTTACCGATCTCGCCAATGTGTGGGTAGAAAGCCTTGACAGAAAAGGCATAATATTGCGAAGCCTGCAAGAGAACACAAGCATAGATTTGAGTGACGGCGATCCTAATCAGTGGACCGTCTTTTTCTCTAAGCTTGACGCAGCTTTCGACCCTACGTCACCAGACCACCATACGACCAGCCTTAGCATATCCGCCTCGACGGCAGGTACTACATCTGGAGGTGGTCTGGCTCTTCACGTTACATGCGTGCTACCCGAGCCGCTCAAACCGCTCAAGTGGCCTGTCTACTTGACAAAATGCCCGCCTATTGGCCTGGCCTCAGAGCTTGTCTTACCTCTCATCCAAGCCCACCATGTACGTACGTTGGAGGTCCAGGACCTCATAACGAGGCTTAAGGAAAAAGACGCTGTCATTACAAAGCTCGTCGACAAGCTGGAAGCCAACAAGGTCGGCCTAGAGTATGTATTTAATTCTCTATCCTCTAAGCGGAAGCCTTCCCGGGCAGTTGCCGAGGAGAAGGTCAAAGGCCTAGCAGTTTTCAATGTATCCGAATGGAAGTCGAGTGTAACTGCGAACCAGGAGCTTCCCCCGGACTTGTTGTCCCTGATTCACGAGGTTTTTGCGGAAACAGGGTTGCATAATAGTGTAAATGCAGATATCTCCCCCTCCAGCCAGCTTAATGACTGGTGGACGAAGCTGGGTTCGGGCCCAACTACCGCTATCAAACTCCGGAAGGAAGCCGTTAGGAAGGCACGAGAGACACCTCCTTTAGATACTAAGACAAGTAGGGAAAGGGATGATGACGACTTTCAAGTGCAGGCCACTCCCCCCCATCTACAGTCAATTAGGCGAAAATATGACTACTCTAGAACCGCTGGTGATACTACAGATGATGACGATAGCCCTGTAGAGATTCCCGATAGTCATCCGACTGTGGCGCAAGACAAGCCTCGTTTCCGAATCGGTGCCGTTGGCGGGAAGATGCCCGGCAAAGACAACCCAGCTAGCCAGTCTTCTCGCACTGTACCTGTTGACGATGACGAGACCCCGTCAGAGTCTGACACAGAACCGGTGTTACCAGAACCACAAAGACGGCAAAATACCCGGCTAGGGACCATTGGCAAATCCAGAGAGCCATCGTCTCCTCCAGCAAAGTCTCCATCTCCTGTACCACCACCACTCAAGGTCGGAGATGAAACAGCATCTGATTCGGATTCCGAGGATGACGCCGGGCCATCCAAAGCCCGGTCTCCTTCACTTGTCCCGACTGAGGGGAAGAGGGTTGGACTAGGGCAAATAGGCGGTAAGCCTAAGACTCGAGTAACACCAGAGCCGTCTGAAGAACCGAACGTGACATCCCCCGGGACAAGGAGCCCTCAAGCCACTACAAGCCCGGCAAGGCCCGTAAGTCGAAAGATTGGGACCATCGGGGCGAGATTTGATGCGGATAGCAAGAGACACCGCCCGTCGTCGCCTGTTACAGCACCAGAGCCCGAGACGGAAGAGCAGAGGACAGAGCGTAGGCGGGCGGAATTAGCGAAAGAGCTTGAACGTAAGGCGGCTGCACCGACGAAGAAGAAAAGGAGGTTTTGATTCACATTCCGGTAGTTAAATCAGCAACAGTCGAGGTCGATACCCATATTGTCATCGCGTTGAGATTGGCTACCATATGTTCGCTGAACATACTACCCAGAACTATTCGATTACATATTTGTTCGAAGGATTTTTATATTTATTTTCAAACACATATGATGATGCGAACTTATGAATATACCCCTGGATCTTAGTTGCAGCTTGATTCATCCACTCAACCCTTCCGGAGGATCACGCTCATACTTTAGAGCGCATTATTAAGACGTCTTATCGCATGTGTGTTGAATGAAGGATAAAGGAAGCGGAAAGTCGACAGAGTTTGGCCTTATGCAACAAATCTACAAAGTCGTATCAGGAATGAAAAATCTATCGTTCTTCAAATCAAGAGCAGTATATCAATCCACGCTCTTCATACTCTTAGTATCCATTAACTGCAAGCAACGTAACTCTCTCTTCCGGCACGATATAATCACCAGAGTGAAAAAAAGACTCACTATAACACACCTATCGTAAATTATCTGGATAGACCAGTTGCGGTAGGCGAAGTTAACCAATATAGGCATATGCAGTCTAAAGTTACGTAGATATTATCTTGTCACACTTTACCGACGCAAGATCACCATACAGAAAGCAAAAAGATGCAAAATTCCCCGCAAATTGCGAGAATAGGCTATAACCTCTATGATAGCAATATGTCAGAAATAGCTCTTTATTTCCTAAATAGCTCCGCTTGCGTCGAGGTGGCCTTGATGGTCAATTGTTAGGGCATGATTGGGACGACTAGCTACTACACCCCGCGATTCTTACGGTGCAAAGCAAGTCTCTGTCTTCTCTCCCGTTCTTCAGCATACATAGAAGGCTATGATGCTAACTAGAAATGGGTATCCACTTCACGATCTTGAAAGGAGGTGATATGAAAGCCAAACCTATGTCACAAAACAGTAGAGGCTAGCTTGGGAAACGAATAACTGCCTGTCTGTGGAGCGACTAGAAGCTGTGCAACTTGTCTAGCTTTTCGCAGACTGTGAGTAATTCGCTCTGTCCAGTCATTCTACTAGCAGCTTAATGCAGATTCTTCCTGAGCCATGCCGTTAGTTTACTGGTGCTTTGACAACATAGTACGGGTAAAATCGACAACGTTGTTACTACGTACCGTGCAAGATGAGGGACATTGAGGCACTCTGGATTATCACTGCCCCAGTTGATGTTCCACAAGACTGGTCCTCTCGAACAACAGTATCCACACGTATCTCTGTGGTGCATTGAGATGGGAGACAGATAGGCAGGCGTTATCTGAGAGGAGGAAAGGAGTCGTTGTACACAGCACTGCCCCTGACCGCTCCCGTTCTTCTTTCCGCCCCGAAACGTGGACAACCTCTCCTTTGCTACTTTTTTTTTGCTACGGCTTCACTTCACGGTACAGATCTACGGTGGAGGCTTAGTGCTAGGGGTATTGCTGTCTCGGGACTGTTCGGTAACCAGCGAACCAATTAGACGACTATGCCACTGTAGGCTGTGAGGTGTAAATACGTTAGGTAGGTACGTGTGTGCGACAAGCTACCGATCCTGGTGCTGTCCTCGGCCTCTTTGTCGTGCGTTGGGATCAGGCAGTGCTAGGTATGTTATAAGGACAATCGTGCTACGCCCTATCAAAATCGCGCACGGTGTAGGGACTTGGCTGTTAGGCTACCTACCTCTTAGCCCTATAATAGGGAACCCGCAACATCTACCCGT